ATCAGTCCCCCACTGCAATCAATTATAGGCCAGAATGAAACTCACTCTAGACAGTAAGTCCCATCTTAGTCTGTCGGGAAAATAATGTGGATTCGCGCCTTTAAATTGCCCATCATCATTTTGCAATGACCAGCCGTGGCTGGGGACTTGGTGCGCTACTGCGACAAGTCAAGACGTTTTGCTGTGGCAAATAATAATCAAAATGCCGCTGTACCAATGGCGTCGCTGAAGCAAAAAGTAATTTGATTCTGCCGCGACACAATTCATTTTTCTCGGATTTTCTATGCGACAGAATGCTCATTATTTTCCCGACAGACTAATAATAAAGATTATCTCTTCATGCTGATATTTTTATTCTATTTTTGGCAGTTGGGTCGCACTAAAATTTGTATTTTTACCGTTAAGATTGATTTTTGCAGTTCTCATAATGTTATGCTTTCTCAAAAGTGCGTAGACTTTTTGTCGTGGGCCGCACCACGCACAAAACCCCTTTTTTTTTTTTTTTTTTCTTTTTTGTATTTATTTGATGCAACGTGCAAGTAAAAGAAATATCGCAGCGACGCAAGCTTTTCTGAACGGTTCGGCTCGAATCTTAGGCGCCCAAAAAGAAATTGCACATTGCAAAATGCTTCGAAAAGGATAGCGTCGCGTTGCAGTGTGCGATGCGATAAAAGGCCGAAAAAGTCTACGCACTTTATGAAACAACTACTATTCGTCTGTCGTGAAAATTATGAGCAAACCATAGTTTTTCTATGGTCACCCTCTTCATTTTCCGCACTCTGTTGTGTGAAAAGTTGAATTTCAATCTGTCGGGAAAATAATGAGCACAATGTCGCTGCGCCAATCGCGTCGCTGAAGTGAAAAGCAATTTGATTTTGTCGCGATACAATTCATTTTCTCTGCGGCGTTGCGATTTTCGCTGCGGCGGAATTTTCATTATTTTCCCGACAGACTGATAATATATTCTCCCCAACACTCCCTTTCCTCCAAGTTCTCAACTAAAACATTTTAATCCGCGAAAAAATCCACTAATCTCTCTGCTTAACACCTCTCGCCCCGACCGCTTCGCCTTGAGACGTGGCGAGGCGCCATAAGCGGAAGAAAACAAATAATTCGAGCAAATACAATGTAACCGATCGTCGCCGGAAAGGGACGGGGCGAGAAAAAACTTTCTTCCTGCCCCACGTTTCGTTCCCCCTTTTTCGTTTTCATCAAATACAGCGCGCATTCAACCTTCTGGAGCATTCATAATATCTGTGGCCGCGAGCGAGGACTTTCGCCCCGCTTTTTCTCACTTGTTCTTAATCTCTTATTATTTTTGCATTTTCGACGCACGCTTTTCGGGATTGGGCCGTGCATGTTCGAGGCGAACATGCAGTTCCGGCTGTGCTGCGGGTTCGGGATTTTTTGCGGGTTCCTTTGGAATTTCTAGCATTGTAAATTTAGGCAGTAAACAGAGGAGTAAATGCGGCGTAGATTTTACTTAAGTTTGGCAGAAAGTAAAATTTGGATTTCCAAAGTATTTTTTTGAAATTTTTTTGTATTCGAGAACACGCAGCTTTCATAAGTAAGCCGTACAGGTTATGATATTGATAGAAGTGACCATAATTTTGATAAATTTGTTGGAAAAAATGAGATTTTTAGACGACAGCGGGATAAAAATGACAGGGAAGTACTCCAAGTGCGACGCTCAGATCTTGATGAAACTTGTCCCAAATTTAGAATATGTTTTTCTCGGACATATGTTAGACTGCTAGCTTTCGGTTCGCAAAGATCACCGAGATTTCCAGCTCAAAAGTTGGTAATAATTTACGCCTTTTTTGCCAATTTTAGTATAAAAATTTTCATGCCTATTTCTATAATGCTTCCACAAAAAATAATTTTTTTCGCATGAGGCTAGCAAAAATATGGTCTAAAAGTGTTTCTCTCTTTGATCGCTCTCCGCCTTTGACATAGCCTCTCGGTCGAAAAAATCGTTCGATATCTTGACTGCGTCTGCAACGCGCGAGCTAAAACTTTCAGAGATTGATATGTGGCTTATGCTTGACGTATGGTAAATTTTTAGAGAAAATTTGAACGTTGCGCTTGGAATTTTTCTCATGTTACTAATAAAATAATAAAGCGAAGATCAAAGGTTTTCCTAAATTTTGGTGCAAAAAATCATTGCTATTCTTTAGTTAAAGCTGACATATTACGATAAAATTATTCTCTTACTTGAGATTTGCCTAGTTTTGATGATAAAATTTTTCTTTGGCCGTCTATCCTCATTTTCTATAGTTTCTCTTTAAAAAACTATCCTCAAATGTCGTCACAGTGTTCATACCACTGCTGTGCATTACTAAAAACCTAAAGAAATCGTGTTTACCACCTATTTTACCCATTCCTTCTCATATCCCTTTGTTTTCCCTATTTTAATTTCCAAAAACGCCTTTTCGACCATTTTTTTGCAGAATGCAGAACACCAAAAGGCCGAAAATACCATGCTCGGTAAAAGTGTAATCCCCTGTATTCCCCAGTCAGCTAGTTTAATGCGCCATTTCGGGGGGCATCCCCTCGAAAATTGGCAGATTACCATCGCCATAGAACAGGCGATAAGTGGGCTTTCTATTTCTCAATTTTTGTGCGATTTACTGCAAAGTTTTTGGAGTGTATTTCTGGCGTCATTATAGGGGATACTGTAGGCAATTTGTGCGGCTATTAAATCCACGTTTGACTCCTACATTCCGGAGCAAACTTGGCATCATTAAATGCGACATTAACAGTGCATTGAGTCCGGAATTGCGTCTTCTTGCGTTCATAAGCATATGAAAATCTCTTCGAAAGCCGCTCGGAGCCTCTTAAGCGACCAAAATCTCTTGACTGCTCGCAAATTTTTCGTTCAATTTTCTTAAAATCCGTCTCCATAAATCCTCCGGAGAGCTGGATCCCCCCGCCCCGGGGGACGAACGCTTAATTATCTTAACAAATTAAACGCTGAGTGGTATTCGTTTTGTTGGGGTGGGGGGCAGTGGAGAAAGTTTTCTCGCCCATCCGCGTAACTTCGGCCCCCACCGACTTTTTTCAAGGCTACTCTTCTTTTTTTTTGCACACGGCTGGGAGTGCGTGAGCGGAAAACCGAGAGCGAGTGAAGAGCCGGTGGTGGATCTCGTTTTTTTCCATCCATGAGCCCGAAGTTTGGTTTTGATGCGACCACAACTTGATGCGCTATTCATCGGCTCGTAATCTGGCCTAGGCTTGGGGATGAGGAGGGGGTAGGCGGGATTATATTTTATGGGGTTTTAAGGGAATTTTGAGGGGTTTTTAGAGTGTAAAGTGTTGATTGTTTAGATTGACGATTTTGTCAATCGAATCCCCTGTTGAACGAGGAATTGTAAGGATCTGCTATTCAAATAACGATTTATTTTTCATATCCGTCCGCTTTTATAAGTCGCTGGAGCGATTTTCGCGACATGCACTATGCAAAAACAGAAGTTTTCTTTGCACTGTGCAATTTTCGGCTTTTTTGCACCGTGCAATAGGTGCGTTTTGCCGAGGTTCTGTGGTCTGTTTAAAGGGCGATTCTATATTTACTTTTTATACAAAAATTGCTACCAAAATTTATTGTGAGTCCTTGTTTTGCAATTGGTTAAATTTCACACCTCAACATGAGTTCAATTTCTTCTTATTGCGTGACCTTTGACTTTATATTTACAATTAGGTATTTGTATTCACAGGAGCAAACGCTTCAATTTTGCAAAAGCTTGGCAGAAATTTATAGTACACTTTTCTACAATATATGTGGCATTTTTATCCACCGTATTGCAGTAACCATCGAAGTTTCATGGAAAAAAAATTCAATTAATTTTTTTTTGTGGATTGTTTTGTTTGATAATTTTTGCACTATTTTTACAGTATAAATAATTTAGTAAAAATCAAATGTTATATTTTTTTACTATTTTTTTACCATTTAAATTTGCTTTACTTTACATATTTCTCAAATTGAATTCCCACTCTCCCAAAGACGAACACCACAAAAAAATGCCGCTTACGCAGCGGAAATTGAATTATCATCCCGGCTAAACATAGGAATTGCGCAAACAATGGGCTCAAAATAATCGAATAAAACGGAAGCGTTAATCGGCCGGGCGGGCGGGCTTTTTTAAAAGGTCTTCTTTACGAATTTGCCAAAAGTAAATGACGTTGACTTCTTGACGTGTATCTTTGGAGATTTTTTTTAATTATGAAAAATTTAAAAAAAATATTAAAAAATCGAAAAAAATCGTAATTTAAAAAATAATTTTTTTTTCGTTTTTTTTATTTTACAGTTAGCAAAAAAAATAAATAAAAAAAAATCGTTTTTCTTATTTTTTTATTATGATTTTTACATAATTTTTTTTTATTATTTTTAATATTTTTTTTATTTTTTGTTATGATTTTTACATTATTCTTTTTATTATTTTTTTTTATTTTTTATTATGATTTTTAAATCATTCTTTTTTATTATTTATATTAAAATTTTTTATTATGATTTTTGCATTATTTTTTATAAATGATTTTTTTACATTATTTTCCTAATACCCGCGAAGCAATTTCACCCAATAAAACAGATTTATTTACGATTGTTTTTTTTTCAGCTATGCGTCGTCAAGTTTAATATCATCCCTGTGACCACCGTAAATTCTCCCTTCTTTTGTAAGTTCCTCCACGCCCAAATTAATTAAGCGTGCACAAAAATGAAGGGGGTTGTAAAGGAAAGAAAAACTTTTGAATGACGAAAAGTTTGGAGTGATTTTTGAAACAAAACATTTTATTTTAAAAAATATTTTTTTTTATTTTGAAAAAAAAATTAAAAAAATTATTTTGGAATTTTTTCGATTTTTTATTTTGTGCAAAAATTTATTTTTAAAACGAAAAAAAATTTTTTTTTGAAGGACATATTCATTACCGCACGGCGATTTAATAGTTTTCCGCGTTAAATTTGGGTGTTTTCAGGGCTGGAAGAGTGTTGAAAGGGCTGCTTGATGGACTTGTTGCAATTGTTTTGCGATGAAAAACAGGACGTAAGGGATTTTAATAATTAAAAAATATATTTTTGGATTTTTAGAATTTAAAAAATTTTTATTTTATTTTTTTGTTAAATTTAAAAAATACTTTATTTTTTATTTCTTTAATATAAAAAATTTTTAATTTTTTATTATTTTTCAGATTTTTCAAACCGATTTCCAAAATCAAACCGGCCTCCCGCTTCTGGGCGAATGTATTCTTCATGGCAGTTTAATTTATTTCCCATGTCTGTTTTTATTAATTTTCTTGCCCTTGGTATTATTTGATATTTACAAAAACAATGAGCGGAGGAAGCTGCGGTTGGATACGCCAATAAATTATCGACTGGTAGGTTTTTTTGGGATTTTTTATTTGAAATATTATGTTTTAAAATACAAATTTATATACTATTAAAACCTCAAATTAAATCTTTATTAAGCCATTTCACCGAAGAAAAGGCCCGGGGAAAAATCTGAGCGCTCAGATTTTCTTTAATTTTTTCACACACCTCAGTCATAGGCCACATATCAATTCCTGAAAATTTTAGCTTGCGCTTTGCACAGACAGCCAAGAAATTCAACGATCTTTGCGGCCGAGAGAGTACGCCAAATGATGAGAGCGGTTAGAGAAAACATTTTTTGGCCATATCTTTGCCAGTTTCGCTTGGAAAAAATTGAGTTTTTGTGGAAATATTACGCTCTACGGTAGAAATAGGCATGAAACTTATTATGGCAAAATTTGCAAAAAAATTTCACATTTTTTTCTAAATTACGACTGTAAAATTTTGATTGTTTCTGCAAATCACAAGCTAGAAATCACGCATATGCCTTAGAAAAAATTATTCGAAAAATCTTGTGCCAAATTTCATCGAGATCTGAGCGTCGCAATTGGACCACTTTTCCTGTCAAAATCTCGGTCGTTTTTGCAAAAAATCTCATTACACTCGCTTTGCTTAAACTAATTCCCCCATTTTCAGTCCCTCTCCCTCATTCTTGATCTCATTTTATGGGTAATTGTGCTGAACGCATTTCACGAGAACTTTATTCAACCACTGCCACTCCAGACCTCCAAATGGACCGCCATTTTGCCATTCACGGCGCTCGCAACAACCTTTACAATCTCCATGATATTGAGCTACATGGTCAAGAAGAAAGGGCTCCTCACGTCCGGAGTTCTCTTCATATTTTATTTTTTATTAATTTTGTCGGCTCTTCCGGAGCTTCTTTTTGTTATCAATGAGATTTTGGAGAGGCGCAAGGTAAATTTGAATTAAAAAAATGGAAAAATAATTTCATAAAATTTTCAGCTTACTGTCCATGGAATCTTATTTTTACCGTATTTTATTGTGGCATTTTTAATTTTGGTGCTCAGCTGCTTTGCGGATCGACCGGCACAGAGATACGACAAGGTAAAAACATTATTTTTTTATTTATTTTTTATTTTATTTTACTTTTTATTTTTTAAAATTTTTTTAAAGTTTTTTAATATTTTTTTTAGTTTTTTATATTTTTTTAAAGTTTTTTAGTATTTTTTTAGTTTAAATATTTTTTTAATTTTTTTTTATATTTTTTAGCTTTTTTAATATTTTTTTTTAAAATTTTTAAATACTTTTTAAAATTAATAAATTATTGTAATTCCAGAAAAAAGCTTGTCCCGAAGAGTACTCGTCTTTTCTGAATCAAATAAGTTTCCATTGGTTTACCCAAATGACATGGCAGGGATACAAAGAAAGTCTAAAAATGGAAAAGATGTGGGACTTGAATAGCAAGGACACTTCTGCGAAATTACTGCCGGATTATGAGTTGTACAGGAGGCAAGAAGAAATTGGTGAGAAAAAAAGTTTAACACTTTTTTTTATTTTTTGTATTTTATTTTTTTTTTGTATTTTTTGATTTTATTTTTTATTTTTTAAATTTTTATTTTCTTTTTATTTTTTGGTTAAAAAATTTTTTTTTTGTTTTTTTACTTTTCATTTTTATTTTTTTTTTTGCATGTAAGAGCGAAGGAATAAGAGCGAAAAAAATCTTCTGAAAAAAATGCTTCAGCCTCTTTCTTTTTCGTTCGGAAGAGTGTGTTTACGAACTCTTCCCACTTGGGAAAGAATCTGAGAGGCGGAAAGAGTCTCGAGCAGACGCTCCCGCCATCAAGGTGGGGGAAGAGTGTGGGACGAGACTCTTTCCGCCTATTGGCTCCGCCCACTTCTGCAGGATTTTGGGGAAAAATGGCGAATTGAAATGTTTCCATTTAGTAAATAAAGCACTGTTCTTTTCAATTATACGATGTTTTATACATTTTTTCTTTGACAACAAAGTTTGGACAGTATAATCTAACACTTTTCGTTCATTTTCTATAAAATAAATGAATAACTAATCTTTAATAACAATAAATAAAGGTGTCTAAGAAACAGATATCGGAGAAATCAGATACACTATATAAATCTGATATAAAGAAGGCCACAAAAATGTAATTCAGGTAACAGAGATAATAAACCATGGTGGCTGAATTGTAATAGCAATAATAGCCGGAAAATTGTGCACTTTTTCGCGTACCTATAGGGTTGTTGAACGGCTGGCTGCGAATGCATTCGGTGGAGCTAGGAGTACACCAAATTATCCAGAATTTGGTGTACTCCTTACATTTGGGTTTAGTCGCCGGGAGCAAACAGTCTTGCGCATAGGTCCAGAAGATCACGTGTTTCTCATTAGTAGACCATATCTGAAATCGGATTGATGAAGACGGTGTGGTGGTTGAATCCTAAATCAACAACGCAAAACAGAAGAAAAGAACTTACCATCTTGCAAGCCAATGAAGAGGTCTTCATTTACTTCATAAGTCGCATCAGTATTATGCTTGTCGTCCAGAACTATTGAAACATCTCGCTGCACATGACGCGGAGATATTTCGGCTAAAATTTACCCACACTATCAACAATTTAACATCTACGTACCTTTCCGAGTCCACCATAGGAGGCCGAATATAAGTCCATGATTTGCAGTAGATCCAGTTCAACATCTTATGGGCGGTGTTTGGAGGCCTTCATCAATCGCATATCAATCTTGGTCGTCCTTTTTTGGCATCAAAGTTGTTGGTAAAACTTCATTTCTCTGGCAAAAGCGAAAAAGGTTCCGCAGCTTGCGCCCGAACAATTTTCAGTCGTTTTGACCGAACAAAAGTGGCCGACAACAATAGATGGAGGTGAACCTTAGCCCATCGATGAATGATAGGGAATTTCGACGAGGAAGGGCGGACCGACGCGGCGAAATGTAAGTTGCCTCATTTTGTTAGCATATTTGAGTAATTTCAGGTCTAATTTTTCCTACCCGGCCAACTGCGGACACCATATCTGAACTTGTTTTAACTTTTCAGGCCCAATTGATGTTCGACATCAACAGTATGTGATCGCTACAGCGATAAATTCGGACGACTTTGTAAGTTAGAACTTTTTTTTAAACATTTTAGGTATAAAACAATATAGAATTTGGTCTCCACGGATAAGATCCCCGTGGCAGTTGATGAAGCTGAATCCAGCAAGGACAGGGATATCCACGACTTGTTGAATGGGAAGTAAGTAACAGTTTTAGAGAGTTTTGAGGGAGAAGATTGGGATTTTTGAAGTTTTTTTAGTTTTCAACGGATTGGGCTAAAGTAATATTATTTTTTGAGTTTGCGCTGTTTTCGTGAGTGATGAAGTGCTTAGGAGGCGGAGAAAGAAAGTATAAATAGTAATTTAGTTGATATTATTGAAATTTTTAGCAGGCCTACGTCAAAACCGAGATTTCTTGAAATTTTTAGGTATCTTTGTCTAAAATAAGGTGAATTTGTTGCGAAATGTGCAGTTTAGTGAGTGGCACGTGGTTTGCAGGTGCGCCAATAATAAGTAGGACCGATAGAGTTGTTTTGATTAGTTTTGATATTATTTTAGATATAAAATTGTTAAAAAGCTGCTAATTTTTCCAAATTCAGCCTCAGTATCTTAAAATTGCAACTGCCAACCTCAGTAACAATGAGGAAGAAAGGGAGACTGTGAACATGGACACGAACGCCCATGGGCAGAATCCGCCACGGCCCTCTACATCTAAATGTAACTCGATGTTTCTTGTGGTGCACATAAATATATCTGTGAAACTTGTTTTTTCTTGATTTTCTTAACCATTGTGTTAACCAGGAATGTATTTGATTTTCAATTGAATCTTGAAATGACAGCCATGTTAAGGCTAAGCGTATCACAATTATAAAACAAATAAAAACACACCCAAATCACCGGAATAATGAAAAGGCAAAAATTTTCACCCAAAACAACCGTTTTCCGCAAGAAAACCGCCAGCTCAAAATCGAGGGGGCGGGGCCTATAAACGTCGGAAGAGCCTGCCCGCAGACGCTTCCTCCAGAAGAGAAGAAAGAGTGTGATGGCAGACGCTTTCCCAAGTGGTGAGAATCTGCTCGAGACTCTTCCGACAAAAAAAGAAAGAGGCTGAAGCATTTTTTTCAGAAGATTTTTTTCGCTCTTATTCCTTCGCTCTTATGTTTCAGTATTTTTTGTTTTTCGATTTTTATTATTTTTGATAATTTTTTATTTTTTATTGCCATTTTTTTTTATTTTTTTTTTTATTTTCCCATTTTTTTTTATTTTTTTTTCTTCCAGCGCACGCCCGAAAAAACTACACCAAATACGCTCAAAACGGGAACCAACAACTCCTGGAGAACCACGAAAAGCCCCAAGAACCCCAAGTGTCCAAAGACAAGAAAGAGAAGGACCCTTATCCGTCAGTCCTCATTCCTCTGGCCAAATGTCTCAAATACCCGTTGATCTCGGCGGCGCTTCTGAAGTTCACTTTCGACTCGGCTCAATTCATTTTCCCTCATCTGTTGAAGAAGTTGATCCGCTTCATTCAGGTCGGCACTGATCCCAAATGGTATGGGGTCAGCATTGCCGTTACGATGTTTCTGATCGGCGTTGTTCAGTCGTTTGTAAGCATTTTTTATCTATTATATGTACAAATTAATAATCAATCTGTGACTATCAGTCTGTCGGGAAAATAATGCGGATTTGTCAAGCCTTGAAATCGCACATCATCGCGTTGCGATGAGTAGCTGGAGTTGGAAATTTGGAATTGTGACAGCCACGAGGCGAGTTATTTTTCTGCGACAAATCCACATCATTTTTCCGACAGACTGAATGTTAGTTAAATTATAACTCTGTCGGGAAAATAATGAGCACTCTGTCGCATTATTTCAGATTCTTCACCAATATTTCCATATCATGTTCCGCACAGGGATGAACATCCGCTCCATTTTGTCATCAGCTGTTTATAAAAAAGTAAGTAATCTTTATTCTCCAAAGATGAAATCGCTACGTTAATTCCAATTTCGTATTTTAACAGTAATATCTCTTTTTTCTCCAGGCAATAAGCCTCTCCAGTAAGGCCAGAAAATCCCGAACTGTTGGCTCACTCGTCAATATCATGGCCGCCGATGTTCAACGATTTCAAGATACCACAACATACGTCATGATGTTGTGGTCGGCGCCGTATCAAATGTTTTTGGCAATGTATTTCCTGTATCAACTGCTGGGATGGTGTGTGATTTGCGGGGTCCTGATCATGGTCTCGCTGATTCCGATTAATAACAGTATCTCCAAGGCCATGAAGAAGTATCAGGTAGATGATTATAGATACACGAGGCGCTCTGCAGCCGCAACCGAGATATTGAACGATCTTTTCCGACAGGAGAGTGCGCAAATGCTTCCAACTTTGCGTACTTCCTCGGCCGCAAAAAATCGTTTGATATAATACCTCAACTGCGCCTCCAAGGCGCGGTCTAAAACTTTTGGGAGTTGCGTTCGAACACTTTCCTTGTTAGGCGATGCTTTATCAAAATTCAAGCAGCTCCAGTAAAAATTGTATACATATGTATAGTGCACAAACTTGATACCATCAGAATATTACTTCTTCGTAGTATCTACGTCAACCATTTACGACAATAAGAGCGACCAAAATAGCGAGCAAAAAGCAGTGTGTAAAAGGGTGACCCAACTTCTCTGCCCACTTGAAATTTTGAAGCTCAATTTGAAGGTATAGACTAAACTAAAAAGTGTTGTTTGTGGCTTAAACATGCTCTTTATAACAATCGATAATAATGAAAAAAGCATCAAGTTTATCTTGCTTATCTTCTGAGGTCCAGATTGATCCAAAAATCATTACTTTCCAGACACAACAAATGGAATGCAAAGACAAGCGACTTCGGATGTTGAACGAAGTCATCACCGGTATTAAGCTGGTCAAACTTTACGGATGGGAGGAAGAAGTCAAAGACAAGATCCTAGAGGAGCGAAACAAAGAAATTCGTATCCTAAAGAGCTTGGCCTACTGGAATGCGGCGACTTCTTTGACCTGGGCGTGTGCGCCCTTCCTTGTGGCGGTCACAACTTTCGGTGTGTATGTTTTTGTCGATCCGGAGAACAATATTTTAACGCCCGAGACCACGTTTGTCGCGCTGAGTTTATTCAACATTCTGAGGTTTCCGATGGCCGTCTGTACAGTGCTGTGCACGCAAGTTGCGCAACTGAGGGTGAGCAATGAGAGGCTGAAGGAGTTTTTGGCAGCCGAGGAAGTCGGAAAGGACAAGGTGGTTCATAAAAGTAATGACAAGGGTAAGTCAGCTCAGAGGATTTCAATTTTCACTAATAATTTGCTTCAATATATCAACGGTTAAATTGAATAAGGTTAATGAAGAAGGTGCGTTAAGTGCGAAGCTTAGATTTTAATAAAACTCCTTGCAAATAATACACAAAATACGTGTATTTGACGCATTTTACCCTTACTTCCATTATCTTTAACTTTTTTCAGACACCAACTCCGTAATTCTCACGCACGCCTCATTCGCATGGGATCCCGAGGACACATGGGGCTCGGCCCTCAGTGACCTGAACATCACCATTGAAAAAGGCAAGCTGGTCGCAGTCATCGGCAGGGTCGGCTCCGGCAAAACGAGTCTCGTACAAGCGCTTCTCGGCGAAATGTACAAAGTGAATGGGATTTGTGAACTCCACGGCTCGGTTGCCTATGTTCCCCAGCAATCGTGGATATTGAACATGACTGTCCGGGACAATATTTTGTTCGGAAGTGGATACGATGAAGCCAGATATCAAAGGATTTTGAAGGCGTGTGCTTTGGAGGAGGATCTGAAAACGTTGGAGCATGGAGATATGACCGAAATCGGGGAGAAGGTAATGAAAATGAAAGTTTATACAAATATAAGTCTGTCGGAAAAATAATGAGCACTCTGTCGCATCTAAAATCGCATAGCCAAAACGCACTGTGTTGCGGAAAAATCAAACTGTATTCACTTCAGAGACTCGATTGGCAGCGATATCATGTTCATTATTTTCCCGACAGACTGATACTAATCAGCGCATAAAAGTCATAATAATTTACATAGTGCGATTTTTGGCGCGTGAAAATCGCTGGAAAGTATATTTAGGGTGTCCCATAAATCTTGCAAATTTTTGGGTTTAAGAATGAACGTCTCATTTCGGGGGCCTAGAGAACTGTACTCCTTAATGTTTGGTACTGTTAGAACCACCATCCTTTACACTTGTTAACAGCATAAAAATTTTAACTAACCACGTGGCCTCCGGGCAAATACTTAACATTCTTTAAAATCATCCAGTTTTGGGAAGCGTTAGTAAAGCGATCCCGTTCTTTGGTAAGTGAGGCTGCACCTTTGCAACCACACTTTTCAATAAATCTACTGGGTGCTCTGTTTCTAAATAAGCGGCGCTTTCCACTGAATTAGTGCTTATGACGCTGTCCTGCACGTTCCTTGTATTAGGCGTCATGGTGAATATCACGATGTACACACTTTTGCGTATAAAATTTTCTTGAGGGTGGTTTCTCAGGTCGCGCGGTTACCATAATGAAAATAGCATTAGATTTATGCGTTTTAAGTAAAGATCCGTTGGCTACCTTGTTTTGAATTACCACTGACCCAAGAAAATTTGAAAAAATGAGGTGCATTTACTCAACACCAAAAAAGTTGTCATGAGTACAAATAACATTGTAGTGCACTGTGTTCTAAACAGTGACATATGTATTTTACCGTAGCAAGAGGATTTTGAAATAGCGGTGCTAGGTGCTGAAAAAACACTCTATTTTGAAATTTTTTCGTAAATTTTAAAAATAATCGGGAAAATTTTTAAATTTTGTATATCTCAGGGCAAAAGAGTGACACATGCGGTAAATATAGCCGCATTATGTTCACAAGTAAGCGTAGACTACACACGATGCACATCTACGGCCAACACTTTCTACCTTCGGAAAACCAGGTCAGAAAAACATGAGTGCAACAGTTTTCATGTTGGTCAAACCACCACAAAAGTACCCATGCCTGTATCGCAGCGCGGACTATAATAAGATCCAAAGCTCTCACGCGTCCTATTTTCACGTTTAGTGGGCCAACAGATCTATTTGTACAAAGCATATATCTATTTTAAAATCAGCAAGCAAAATTTTTCTTAATGTCTACTATAATATCGGGGCAGTGTGGGTAGGAGGTAGACCTTATGTGGCTTTGTCATATACAATTTAGAAGCCCTTTATCTGAGCTTCAGAACAGTATATCCAACATACTCCATAATGCGTTTCAAAGCTTACAAGAATTCGCACAAATCGACGACCCAAAAATTTGCAAGACTTATGGGACACCCTAATACTTTTCACAGAACGTTTTGAGCGGTGTGTTTTTTTTTTCAAAGTATCGCTCAAAATGCACAGTGCGGAGCCGCAGAAAATTCCCATGACTTTTTGCGGCGACTAGTCTCAGTCTGTCGAGAAAATAGTGGCAGATCGTCGCGCGTTCGAATCGCCCGAAATTGCTTTGCGGCGACAAGCCGCGAGGCAAAAAATTTGTTGCGAAGACCGCCATTTTTTCCCAACAGACTTGGCTCTTGGACAAGGCTCCTCGAATTTATACCTGGCCTGGCGTAGTATCGGCTTTCAATTTTTTACATCTTTTGCACACCTCTTTCCATCTATAAAATTTCCCCGTTTTTACAGGGGATCAACCTCAGCGGCGGCCAGAAGCAACGGATCAGCCTGGCGCGCGCTCTCTACGCTGATGCTGACATTTATCTGCTTGATGACGTCCTCTCGGCGGTGGATGCTCACGTTCAACGACACATCTTCGACAACGTTATTGTCGACCTTCTCAAGGACAAGACGCGCTTTCTGGTCACGAATTCATTGAACAATCTGAAACATTGCGATCAAATTGTGGTGATGAAAGGAGGCCAGGTCTCGGAGTTCGGGACGTATGAAGGTTTGATACAAGAGCGAGGAGAATTTGGCGAGATTGTGGAAGAGTTCTTGATGGAAGAGGCGAAATCGAGGGGAAGATCGATCAGTTTTGGGGAGAATTGTAAGTCGTGGGGGAATTTCGGGACATCAGGGCCAAGTTCAGGCCATCAGGGAGAAGATCAGGCCGCCAAGGCCAAGGTCTAGCCACCAGGGCCAAGACCAGGCCATCGTGGCCAAGATCAGGCCATCAGTGCTAATAAGGTCAGGCCATCAGGGCCAAGATCGGGCAACTTGAACTTGTCTATTTTTCAAGTTGAACCTTCAATCATTTTGAGTTCAACTTCAAGCTTTTTTGAACTTGAACTTGACGAGTTTGCGAACTTGCACTCAAGTTCAAACTTTTGCAGAACCCTGATGGTCTTGTACTTATTTAAAAGACGATTTCTGAGTCAGTGAATCAGCCGCCAGTTAGGCATGGACATAGGAAAAAATCAAATTTGAGTTTTTTGCATCAAAATGACTGTTGGTAGGTGCTAAACAAAAACGAACAATATTTTTTCCTAAAACTTTCAACAAGGTATAATACCATTTTTTACAATTTACTGTTTTTGAAGTAATCGCCTCCAGCTGTCGTATCTTACCTTACTGTGCGATGATTTGATGGTTACTGAAGTTTTTGACTCTTGCGGTGACGATGGAATCATTATTTTTCTGATCTTCCTACTGTAAAATACCGTAATACCGTATCGGCCGCTAAAAAACGGCCGTAAAATCTTTGTTTCTGAAAACCCACAGCTGATTTTTTGATATGTTAATCAGCGTAAAATTCTGCTCTAGACGCAATCAAAAAAAGTTCAAAAAAGTGAATGACAAATTTCGTGGTATAGTGGTTAGTGGTCGGGACTACCAATCCAGCCTCCCAGGTTCGATTCCGGGTGGGTGCAAATCACGAAAAAATACTAGAAATCGACTTTAATGGAACAATCAAAGCTATTTGATTGATTCTAAGTGATTTTGGACAATAACGGCACCTTTATGGGAGCCTAAAACGGATTTTTTAAAATTTTTGAGGCTTAATACGTGAAAAATAAAACGGCTTCAAACCGGCTGAAATTGATACCACTTACTCTAGGGCTAATTATAAGACACTTTCCCGTTAACTTTTTTTGGGATCTTACTGTATCGTGGATTACTGTAACATAAAACTTATTCTCCTAAACCGCGGTTTACTTCAGAATTCTCGCACAAATTTTTTAGTTTTTTAGTTAGATATTTTAATAAGAAAACAAAGATCCACTCCTGATGTATAAATCAAAATTTCCCCCCGTCTCCAATGTGTGTTGACGTTATCAACAACTGGTGAAACTGCGTGAGATTACTCACAAGGGAAGTCGTTCAGATCGCAAATGAACTATGACATGAGACCTGTGTGGTTTTATAGTCACATACTCTACTATATCGAATATAAAGGCATTTTTGCGTCTGGGCCCCCGCGGCCGAGAAAATCGACTGTAAAGTTTCGCAAGAAGAGAGCGCCGAAAAAGTCCTCTCTCCGAAAGCAAACCCAAACAGCTGCTCAGTTGGCCGAGTGGAAAGAGCGCTCGTCTAACGAATCTTCTTTTGGGTCGGGGGCTGGGTTCGATTCCTTTCACCTGCAATGTAAAGGGTAAGACTACTGTGTACACTACAGTATGCGTAAAAAAATTTTTTTTTTGTGTTTTTCCAATTTTATGTAGATTTGTGCCTTTTCTTGAGACAAAAACAAACAAATTTAGTCGACTTTTCTCCAGACTGTTAAAAATGGCATGACTTGGAATGGTAATCGGAGAGCTTCCTGCGGCTACGCCGCAAGGCTATCGGAAAGTTGTCGAAAGGAAGTAAAGTGATTTTTTATCACTCTTTGATTTTGTTTGGACATGGGATTGGCGCCTAAAAATGTTGTGGCTCTCCTCTTGGCCGAGTTCGGAACCGGGAACTCCGAAGACGCGACTTACGAGGAGACTCGGATGGCAACCCGACTGAAGATTCTGCTGTCTCAAGCGGCGGAAGACGCGAATATTGAGGTTCAAACGGACGATGAGATTATGGACAACAATAGCAGTGGGGACGAGAATGACGATGACAGCGACTTCGAATTGGACGTTGAAGGCCATCAAGAACGTGATGAAAGAGGAACTGGAGAGATATGGATGGGACGAAAATTCGTGTCGCTAGATCAAATACGAGCAGTCAAACGATATTGGCTATCGTCGAATCGATCGGTTGGCGCTGTCAGGAAACGGGGCAGGTTCATTCGAAGCGACTACTACTGGAGAAAGATGACGGACCTGTGGAAGAAAGGTAAGGCTACAGTTTGTTGATGATTTTTTTTGTAGATGAAGTTGTCGCAGATCGGCGTGTTCGCAGTTCCGAACTCGGCCAAGAGGAGAGCCACAACATTTTTAGGCGCCAATCCCATGTCCAAACAAAATCAAAGAGTGATAAAAAATCACTTTACTTCCTTTCGACAACTTTCCGATAGCCTTGCGGCGTAGCCGCAGGAAGCTCTCCGATTACCATTCCAAGTCATGCCATTTTTAACAGTCTGGAGAAAAGTCGACTAAATTTGTTTGTTTTTGTCTCAAGAAAAGGCACAAATCTACATAAAATTGGAAAAACACAAAAAAAAAATTTTTTTACGCATACTGTAGTGTACACAGTAGTCTTACCCTTTACATTGCAGGTGAAAGGAATCGAACCCAGCCCCCCGACCCAAAAGAAGATTCGTTAGACGAGCGCTCTTTCCACTCGGCCAACTGGGCAGCCGTTTGGGTTTGCTTTCGGAGAGAGGACTTTTTCGGCGCTCTCTTCTTGCGAAACTTTATAGTCGATTTTCTCGGCCGCGGGGGCCCAGACGCAAAAATGCCTTTATATTCGATATAGTAGAGTATGTGACTATAAAACCACACAGGTCTCATGTCATAGTTCATTTGCGATCTGAACGACTTCCCTTGTCAGGTGTTTCAAGTCGTACCGCCATATAAAAAACATTTCTACGCAAACCAAGCCTTTCTTAATCATTTTAAGCGTAATGGTGGGGATACGAGCTCTCTGTGCTATGTGGTATACAAAAAAATGGAAACGCGTTTCATGTTACAGTAATCCACGATACAGTAAGATCCCAAAAAAAGTTAACGGGAAAGTGTCTTATAATTAGCCCTAGAGTAAGTGGTATCAATTTCAGCCGGTTTGAAGCCGTTTAATTTTTCACGTATTAAGCCTCAAAAATTTTAAAAAATCCGTTTTAGGCTCCCATAAAGGTGCCGTTATTGTCCAAAATCACTTAGAATCAATCAAATAGCTTTGATTGTTCCATTAAAGTCGATTTCTAGTATTTTTTCGTGATTTGCACCCACCCGGAATCGAACCTGGGAGGCTGGATTGGTAGTCCCGACCACTAACCACTATACCACGAAATTTGTCATTCACTTTTTTGAACTTTTTTTGATTGCGTCTAGAGCAGAATTTTACGCTGATTAACATATCAAAAAATCAGCTGTGGGTTTTCAGAAACAAAGATTTTACGGCCGTTTTTTAGCGGCCGATACGGTACTACGGTATGTTAGGAAAATCAGAAAATATAATGATTCCATCGTCACCGCAAGAGTCAAAAACTTCAGTAACCATCAAATCATCGCACAGTAAGGTAAGATACGACAGCTGGAGGCGATTACTTCTAAAACAGTAAATTGTAAAAAAATATACCTTGATGAAGGTTTTGGAAAAAAATATCGTTCGCTTTTGCTTAGCACCTTCCAACAGTCATTTTGATGCAAAAAACTCAAATTTAATTTTTTCATATGTCCACGGCTGACGCACTGACTCAGAAATCGTCTTTTAAGGAGCTACCCATAATTCAGAATCCTTTGAGGGACTGCAAAACAAATTCGAGAACAAAACGCCACTTTTTTTGTCACTCTTTACCGTGGCGGACCCGATCCAGTGGCAAAAACATATCATTTTGCGTCCGAGAGGCATCAAAAATGCAGCTAAATACCTCCCTCTCCAACCAAAAAACCCCCGATTTCAGAAGCGTTTTTTGTGACAGAAAGGCACACCCTTCAAACCATAGTTTTTTTTGGTGAAGAGGGAGGCATTTTGACACATTTTTTGATACTTCCCGGATGAAAAATAGTACGTTAACTGAATCAAGTCCGTCACTGTACTCTAGTTTCCCCTTATTTTAGCTAGCGATGCCAAAGAAATGCTCAGCGAACTTGAACAACTACTTCCCAAAGAGAAGCTCACCGCAGACTCGCCTATTCCACCAAAAAAAGATAGTACAAGCTCGATTCCCACTATCACCATCACTGCACCGAGTGCAAATAACACTCCAAAATTCGAGAACTACCTTCAAAAACCTCCCCAAACCAACGGAGCGCCTAAGGCGCCGCCGAAAAAGTTGATTGAAGGCGAGGCCGTGGAGACTGGCCAAGTCAAATTCAAGATCTATTGGATCTACATCCGCTCAATTGGACTGTTCTGCATCACCGTTTTCTTGATCGCGTATGTGTTCAGTAGCGCGTTGGGGATTTTGAGTAACATGTGGCTAGCGCATTGGTCCGATTCGGCGGTGAAAATGGCGAAAAATGCTTCGCAAGTCGACGACATGGCCCTAAATCTCGGAATCTACACGTTGTTGGGGCTGGGACAAGCGTTGGCGGTCTGCATTGCGGCCGTTTGGGTGTCGCTGGGAATGGTGAAGGCCTCGAAACTGCTTCACAGCAATATGCTCGATGGGATTATGGCGAAACCGATGTGGTTCTTCGACACAACGCCCATGGGTCGGATTCTGAATCGATTCTCCAAAGACCTGGACATGATTGACAGCCGATTACCAAGTTCTGTTCTCAACTTTACTGGCTCCATTATTCAAGCGCTTGCGATTCTCTGTGTCCCTATTATCATCACGCCCCAGGTCACACCGTCCATTGTGATCATCTTGGTGGTCTACTGCTTCTTGACGGTGTTTTACTTGAGCACATCGAGGCAATTGAAGCGACTTGAAGCCGTGACAAGATCCCCGATCTATTCGCATTTTGCGGTAAGAATTAATGTTGATTCTGACGACAACAGACACTAGTTATGTTATTTTTTCTACTCAGTAATATTGGATATGATTGCAGGAGTCAATAAATGGATCCTCATCGATTCGCGCGTTTAACTGCGAGCAACGATTTGTTCAACGGTCCCAGCAACTGATCGACGAAAATATCAAGGCGTATTATCCGTCGTTGGTGGCTAATCGGTAAGAAACAACCTTGGTAATAGGCTTTGTAATTACTGTAGTAGCGAAGTCACCCTATTTTCTTGACGTTTCTTTGCATATTTCTTTGCTAATTCCCTTGTCAAACTTGAAAAAATGTTCTGAAAGCAGCATCACGTCTCTAAAAACCTATATATATATTATTCTTCGTTAAACACTCGCTAAGAGGCGGCTATATACGTACGGGGACCCCTCTGTAAAAAAAGCTCATGTATAACAAAGCTTCTCTATAACAAACAAGGAAGTATTCCCAAAGGCAATTTTAGGTCGAGTTTAACCTTTTGCTGTAAAGCAAAAAACTCTCCATAAAATCAATTTTTTGGCGCCTTGTCATCCGTAGTGTTTTGCGCTTTACATATCAGTCTATCTAAAATATAACGAGCACTCTATCGCATCAAACACCGCATCGCCGCCGAGAAAATGAATAGTGTTGCGACAAAATCAAATTGCTTTTCACTTCAGCGACGCGATCCGCGTGCTCATTATTTTCCCGACAGACTAAAAAAATACCCAAAACTTCTACGATGACAAAAGTCCTTCTTTTTTTTAGCTGGCTCTCCGTGCGCCTTGAATTAATCGGCAACCTTATCGTATTCTTCTCCGGAATTTTCGCCGTCATCTTCAGCGACTATGGAGTTACAGCCGGTTTGATCGGTCTTTCCGTTTCCTACGCCTTCAATGTTACGCAAACTCTGAATTGGGCTGTTCGTATGTCCAGTGAGCTGGAGACGAATATTGTGTCCGTCGAGCGCGTCACCGAATATGCAGAGGAAATGCAAGACGTAAGCGGAGTTTTGAAACAACATTACATTAATAGACGCCATTTATGGTAGTTTCGAAGACTTTATTTTCTATTTTCAGGACTCCGAATCACCTCTTGGTCTGTCTATTGAGCCCTTGAGCGGCTGGCCAACGAATGGGCAGATCACGTTCGAAGAGGCGTCGTTTTCGTATCGACCAGAAAGTCAGACAATTCTGAACAATATCAGCATCAATATCAAGGCCAAAGAGAAGATTGCAATTGTTGGGAGGACTGGATCCGGTAAGTTTTTGTGCCATTACAGTGGCGGAACTGATCCAGTGGCAAAAAACGTTCCATTTTTAATCCGGGAAGTATCAAAAAATGTAGCAAAATGCCTCTCTCTCCAACTAAAAAACTCCGTTTTGAAGGGTGTGCCCTTTCCCTCACGACAAGAGCGGGCTCGCTTCCGAAATCCGAGCAAATTGGGGGCCTTTTGCCACATTTTTTGATACTTTCCGGACGCAAAATGATAAGTTTTTTGCCACCGGATCAGGTCTGTTACTGTACAGTTATCCTTCCATAAAATCAGACAAAAAAGTTCCAAAGCCATTTTTACCAGCATAAAATCTATAGTCATCCATTTCCAGGAAAAAGCAGCTTCGCGTTGGCTCTCTTCCGCCTGCTCGAGCTGAAATCCGGCCGAGTTCTCATCGATAATGTCGATCTGTCGACTGTTCCGTTGCCCACTCTCCGTCGACGACTGACCATTGTCCCGCAAGATCCAGTCCTCTTTTCCGGCACGTTGAGAATGAACTTGGACCCCTCGAAGCGCTTCGACGAAGACTTCTTGTGGGAGGCGCTGGAATTCGCCGGAATGGGCCAATTCGTTCAGAGTTTGCCCAACGGTCTGGACACGGAAATGACCGAAGGCGGAAGCAACATCTCCGTCGGGCAACGGCAGCTGATTTGCTTGGCCCGAGCGTTGTTGCGGAAGCCGAAAATCCTGATTCTGGACGAAGCATCGGCGTCGGTGGATTTGGAGACGGATCAAATGGTCCATAGGACGTTACGGTAAGATTTTATACATCTTTTACAACGACTTTTTTAGCGAGCATTTCAACGACTGCACCGTTTTGACAATCGCTCATCGGCTGAATTGGCTGAGTGATGTGGATCGAGTGCTTGTTATTGATAATGGAGCAGTTGCGGAATTCGATACGCCAGATAATTTGTTAGCGCAAGATGAGTCGTTGTTCAAGGCGTTGGCCAAGGAGGGGGATTTTGCGATGCGATCGCACAAACCTTCAATCGAAAGGATGACTCCGCCGAGAGTTGAGGTAATTTGTTGTTTACAGTTGAACCTCCGGACAACGAGCTCTTTTACTACGATCTTTGTCTATAACAAACAAATTTCGGAGGCTCAAAAGTCAATTCTTGGCCAAAACAGAACTCACCATAGAAGTACCTCAAGTGCGGCGCTTGGATTTTCATTATTTTGCATACCCTTTGAGCATAGGTCACGTACCATCTCCTGAATGTTTCAGCTCGCGTTTTGCAGGGGCAGCCGAGATATTCAACGATCTTTCCGGCCGAGAGAGTACGCAAAAAGCGGAGAGTGGTCACAGAGAAAACACTTTTTGTCCATATCTTTATTTGAGCGTCGCAATTGAAGTAATTCCCCTGTAAATGTGTACAACAAACCCTTTCTATATAACAGACTTATTTTTTGGTTCATTGAAATTCGTTATACAGAAGCTTGGCAGTATTTCTATATTGTACAAAACATACATTATTTTCGCTAAATTTTTTTTTCAGATAACGCCCGCTGAAGCTGAGGAAGAGGAAACAGATCTGCCAAATGAAGAAGAGCCATTACTGGACGATGCGGTTGACAATGAATCAGTTGGTTCCAATTAGCCCTTGGGGCGTTTGTTGTTGTTCAAATACGGGTTACTTTACAGCACAGTATTGATTTTTAATAAAGGTTTATTTCAACTCAACTGAGTTTTAAAAAAAACGGTCTATGAATATATTCATACCTAGACATGGCTCCCGGGCCGGGCCGGCCTGGGCCGGGCCAAAATTTCGGCCCGGCCCGGAATATTTAAAATCCAGAATCTCGAAGCGAAAATTGGGTTTGATAATGAAAATAAACGTAATGTCAACACACAATTGGTTTTTTTAAAGGTATTTTTGTTTTTAGATAGCTATGGAACACAGTATTTTTCCATTTACATGATGTGTGGAGCCAGCCGCATCTGGGCCCTCATTTGGTCCCGCAACGATAACGAGCAGCCTAATGTGAGAGAGGAACGTGGACGGAAGGAGGATCGGTGGTGGGAGTTGGTTGGAATGTGAAGACGATAGAAGGAGGAACGGAGGAATCTGAGCGCGCGTTTGGCCGTCAGAGTTCCGTGTGGATCAGATACATATTACTCTTTGATATTGGCTTGTATTGGTTTTGATTGTGGTTGGGAATTGCGTGGATAAATAGTATTGGCATTTATTCGTGTGGGTTATTTGCGTGAATACATTGGGAGATTGTCCCATAATTATCTAGGGGAATTGCCTGTGAATCGGTTGGAGGAGCAGAGCATTTATTTTCCCATTGATGATAAAAAAAAATTTGGTCATAAGGAGTTAGACTTGGGGAGACTTTCCTTTCAATGGGCCGGCCCGGGCCGGGCCGAAGCAAATTTAAAACGGGCCGGGCCTGCCGGAACCCTTCAGGCCGACGGGCTGAGATTTTCGGCCCGGGCTGGCCGACGAGCCATGTCTAGTCATACCGAGCCGACTTATGCAGGAAACAGATTTTACTCAAATTACATGAAACGTTAAATGGATTACATATATAATAAAACACAATTTCTGAGTGGGTGTATCAGCCCTTGACATAGAAAATTTCGATCTCGGGTTTTTTGCCTTAATATGACCGCCATCTTCCTAAAAACCTATTGGCAAAACAGTTTTGCCTACTTCCGCCATTGACATAGTTATTTTTCAGAAACAAACCTTTTACGGCCGATTTTTGGCGGCCGAATCGGCAGTTTGGTATGTTACAGTAATCCTAATGAGTCAAAACCACTTTTTTTGAAATCTACGAGTTCGAAAACATCAGTATGCACAATTTCATGATATCTGCATGGTCATTACTGAATTATTGTGGACTACTGTATAAACAATAAATTGTAAAAATAACTGCGTTAACGGCGGAAGTAGGCAAAACTGTTTTGCCAATGGGTTTTTAGGACGATGGTGGTTACATAAAGGCAAAAACCCGAGATCGAAATTTTCTATGACACGGCCTAACTAAAGGCTGCGGAACTGAACCTGAAAAATATAATCCTTTGTCTCGTCAAGCTTGCGACTATTAACTGTCGATGCACAACTATAGCACCAAACAAAGAGGTCGGACAACCTAATCACCATCGAATGTTTGGTGTCTTCATAGTGCTCCATTGCATGACCGTAGGTATAACCACCGCAGAATGCTCTCTGGCACACCAAGCACGCATAGGCAGCTTTGCCATCACCGCAGGTTTCGCAAGGAGAGCTCCGGTTGGGCCACCTGTTTCCGGAACTTACTGTAGCAACATGGGGACAACTAGTCTCACTTCCCAGATCGGCGTTAGTAGCACTTCCCAGATCGGCGTTAAGTAGAAGATGCTGACAGCTTTTTGCAAAAACCAACTTCAGGTCAAACTTTCTGGCCAAATCAAGCGTCTGCTCAGCGCTTTCGTCAGAGATCCCATTCAAGATCGCCAATTCGCATTCGTTCTGGAAAAATTGACCAAAGATAATGCACCCTGTTTTAAGTATATGCATTTTTTTCTTGTGTCTGCGAAAACAAAGATACAAGCAAAAAATTTGTACAAAATTTCTTGAAACACACTACTTTCCAACAAATTCCCAAAGCAATCCACTTACCATAAGGTCACTCAAATCGTATCGGTGCGCCAAGGGTAGCACATTCATTGCCAACTGAAGATCATTGATTTTCGAATTCATGTAAACGTGTTTCAACATGGCTTCTACAGCAACGGGATCGTCGTGCAGTTCCAGGACACCTTCTTCGGCTTCTTTCAAGCCCGAGAGAAACATGGATTTGAAAACCGGCGATTTCTTGGCCAGCTGGTGTTTGCAAACCTAAAAAGTGCTAGTAAAAAATCAAAGAATTTTTGTACTTACATAGAACGTTGTTGTTCCCACATTGATCTTTAGATTGCTAACCCTCGGATCGTTGAAAAGTTCGTCTTCAAATGGAGCAACTTTCGAAACCTTGTCTAAAAACAAACGAGCGTTAACCGCCTGTTTCTAATTCAAAGATAAGTTATAATATGATTTAAGTTAGTAGCAAAATAACCCTCAATATCATTCCCTTCCCATTACCCACATTTCAACCTTTCAATTTGGTACTCCAACCGTCCTAATTGTCTTTCCATTTGCAAGGCCATTTGGACAAAAACTAGAAATAATAAAAAGAGCTGGAGCACGGCAACCCGAAATAGAAGAAAAATCTTTCCCGCCCACTTTTGAGTTTCGTCCAAACGAAGTGTCAAAATTGACAAAAGAAATAAAATAATTCCGAGAAAAATATTTTTCGGTCGGAAAATTGGGCGAAGTGTCGAAAGGAGCCAGGAAAAACTTCGGGTTGCCGTGTGGAGCGTTTTCTTAGAGCTAGATCAGTGTCTGTCTGATCGAACATCCCACGATGCGACCGTTCGCATGTCCAGTGAGCTGGAGACGAACATTGTGTCCGTCGAGCGCGTCACCGAATATGCAGAGGAAATGCAAGATGTAAGCGAGATTTCTAAGCACCACAACGTTAATAGACGCCATTTATGGTAATTTCGAAGACTTTATTAATTTTCAGGACTCCGAATAACCTCTTGGTCTGTCTATTGAGCCCTTGAGCGGCTGGCCAACGAATGGGCAGATCACGTTCGAAGAGGCGTCGTTTTCGTATCGATCGGAAAGTCAGACGATTCTGAACAATATCAGCATCAACATCAAGGCCAAAGAGAAGATTGCGATTGTTGGGAGGACTGGATCCGGTAAGTTTTTGTGCCATTACAGTGGCGGAACTGATCCAGTGGCAAAAAACGTTCCATTTTTAATCCGGGAAGTATCAAAAAATGTAGCAAAATGCCTCTCTCTCCAACTAAAAAACTCCGTTTTGAAGGGTGTGCCCTTTCCCTCACGACAAGAGCGGGCTCGCTTCCGAAATCCGAGCAAATTGGGGGCCTTTTGCCACATTTTTGATACTTCCCGGACGCAAAATGATAAGTTTTTTGCCACGGATCTGGTCCTTCACTGTACAGTCAACCTTCCGCAAAATCAGCCAAAAAAAGATCCAAGTACCCTTTTCCCAGCATAAAATCTATAGTCATGCATTTCCAGGTAAAAGCAGCTTTGCTCTGGCTCTGTTCCGCCTGCTCGAGCTGAAATCCGGCCGAGTTCTCATCGATAATGTCGATCTGTCGACTGTTCCGTTGCCCACTCTCCGTCGACGTCTGACCATTGTCCCGCAAGACCCGGTCCTCTTTTCCGGAACGTTGAGAATGAACCTGGACCCCTCGAAGCGCTTCGACGAAGACTTCTTGTGGGAGGCGTTGGAATTCGCCGGAATGGGCCAATTCGTTCAGAGTTTGCCCAGTGGTCTGGACACGGAAATGACCGAAGGCGGAAGCAACATCTCCGTCGGCCAACGGCAGCTGATTTGCTTGGCCCGAGCGTTGTTGCGCAAGCCGAAAATCCTGATTCTGGACGAAGCATCGGCGTCGGTAGATTTGGAGACAGATCAAATGGTCCATCGGACGTTACGGTAAGATTTTACACATCTTTTACAACGACTTTTTTAGCGACCATTTCAACGACTGCACCGTTTTGACAATCGCTCATCGGCTGAATTGGCTGAGTGATGTGGATCGAGTGCTTGTTATTGATAATGGAGCAGTTGCGGAATTCGATACGCCAGACAATTTGTTAGCGCAAGAGGAGTCGTTGTTCAAGGCGTTGGCCAAGGAGGGGGATTTTGCGATGCGATCGCACAAACCGTCAATCGAAAGGATGACTCCGCCGAGAGTTGAGGTAATTTGTTGGTTACAGTTGAACCTCCGAACAATGAACTTTTTACTATGATACTTGTCTATAACAAAGATCGTCAGTTGTCAGAAGAGACAATTCTTGGCCAAAACAGATCTCACCAGAGAAGTACCTCAAAGCGCGGCGCTTGGATTTTCATTATTTTGCATACCCTTTGAGCATAGGTCACGTACCATCTCCTGAATGTTTCAGCTCGCGTTTTGCAGGGGCAGCCGAGATATTCAACGATCTTTCCGGCTGAGAGAGTACGCAAAAAGCGGAGAGTGGTCAGAGAGAAAACTCTTTTTGTCCATACCTTTATTTGAGCGTCGCAATTGAAGCAATTCCCCTGTAAATGTGTACAACAAACCCTTTCTATATAACAGACTTATTTTTTTGGTTCATTGAAATTTTTTATGCAGAAGCTTTGTAATACATATTCCTTTATTGTACAAAAAATATATTATTTTCGCTAAATTTTTTTTCAGATAACGCCCGCTGAAGCTGAGGAAGAGGAAACAGATCTGCCAAATGAAGAAGAGCCATTACTGGACGATGCGGTTGACAATGAATCAGTTGGTTCCAATTAGCCCTTGGGGCGTTTGTTGTTGTTCAAATACGGGTTACTTTACAGCACAGTATTGATTTTTAATAAAGGTTTATTTCAACTCAACTGAGTTTAAAAACCGTCTTTATACTAGTCCGTTCGTAAAGTCGCTGGAATGTTCTCGGCGATATGCACTCCGCGAAACCGAAAGTTCATTTTGCACTGTGCAATTTTTGGCTTTTTGCACAGTGCAATAGGCTTTTTCGAGCTGTCGCTCGTACCCCGAGTTTTCTTGCACAGTGCACGTCGCCGAAATAATTCCAGCGATTTTACGAACGGACTAGTATTTTGTAACAATCAAATAATGGAAGCCGTGCGGAAAACACCTGGAAACCGCCGCTACACTACGGATGGAATGGTTAAAGGAGACCACGCCCAAGGAGGTCGAGATTAATGACCACGCGCATTACGTGCGTCAAACAATGAAGAAATAATGATCGATGGATTCCGGATTGCGAAACCGGATGAGGACACAAAGTGACTCAGCAGAAACTGAGTTCATAAAAACCAAGTTTGGAATGTGTGCAACCCAAACTACAACAACCCAATCTACTATATAAGCCGCCCTCGAAATCATTCGAGGAAGCTTCCACTCTCTTAATGCTCTTGTAATTCTCTTGTAATTATTCTCTAATAAACTTTATCTATATTATCTAAAGTCGACCATTACAATTTAAAATCACAATCATAGCAATGAGCCCATAAGTCGGATAATCTAATCTCTATCCCATGTCCGGTGTTTTTACGGTGCTCCATTGCACGACTGCAGAATACTTTGTGGCACACCAAGCACGCGAAGGCCTCTTTTTCATCACCGCAGGTTTCGCAACGTGACCTCCGATCGGGCCAACTTTTTCCGGGCTTTACTGTGGCAACATGGGGACAATTAGTATCACTTCCCAGATCGGCGTTAAGCAGAAGATGCTGACAGCTTTTTGCAAAAACCAACTTCAGGTCAAACTTTCCGGCTAAATCAAACGCCTGCTCAGCGCTTTCGTCAGAGATCCCATTCAAGATCGCCAATTCGCATTCGTTCTGGAAAAATTGACCAAAGATAATGCACCCTGTTTTAAGTATATGCATTTTTTTCTTGTGTCTGCGAAAACAAAGATACAAGCAAAAAAATTGTACAAAATTTCTTGAAACACACTACTTTCCAACAAATTCCCAAAGCAATCCACTTACCATAAGGTCCGTCAAATCGTATCGGTACGCCAAGGGTACCACATTCATTGCCAACTGAAGATCATTGATTTTCGAATTCATGTAAACGTATTTCAACATGGCTTCTACAGCAGCGGGATCATCGTGCAGTTCCAGGACACCTTCTTCGGCTTCTTTCAAGCCCGAACTAAACATGGATTTAAAAACCGGCGATTTCTTGGCCAGTTGGTGTTTGCAAACCTAAAAAATGCTTGTAAAAAATCAAAAAATTTTTGTACTTACATAGAACGTTGTTTTCCCCACATTTATTTTTTGATTGCTGAACCTCGGATCGTTGAAAAGTTCGTCTTGAAATGGAGCAACTTTCGAAACCTTTTCTAAAGACAAACGAACGTTAACCGCCTGTTTCGAATTCAAAGGTAATCTATATTATAACATGATTTACTGTTAGTGGTAAAATAACTCTCAATATCAGTCCCTTCCTATTACCCACCTTTCAAATCTTTAATTTTCAAATCCAACTCTCGTAATTTTTTCTCCATTTTGACAAAAAAACTAGAAATAAAAAGAGCGGGAGCGTTTTCTTAGAGCTAGATCAGTGTCTGATCGAAGAGCTCACGATGCGACGCGTCTTTTTGACAGACAAAGCGACGCCAATAAATGGGAAAGGGTCTATGTTTCCACACAGAATGGGAAAAGGTTACTTATCTCTGGCCAACGGAAGCTCCTTGCTTCTCCGATCAAATGGGCGTTAAACAAGGTACTAACTAACCATGGCTCGTCGGCCGGCCCGGGCCGAAAATCTCGGCCCGGCCCGTTGGCCTGAAGGGTTCCGGCCGGCCCGGCCCGTTCCAAATCTTCCGTCGGCCCGGCCCGTTTCAAATTTTCTTCGGCCCGGGCCGGCCCATTGAAACAAAAGTCTCCCCAAGTCTAGCTCCTTATGACCAAACTTTTTCTATTGTCATGTAAATGGATAAATACTGTGTTCCGTAGTTACCTAAAAACAAAAATACCTTTAAAAAACAATTGTGTCTTGACATTGCGTTTATTTTCATTATCAAGCCCAATTTTCGCTTCGAGACTCTGGATTTTAACTATATATTCCGGGCCGGGCCGAAACGCCGGCCCGGCCGACGGGCCGGAAATGGTCCGGCCGGCCCGGCCGATCTGAAATCCGTCCGACGGGCCGAAATTTCGGCCCGGTCCACGGCCCAGGCCGGCCCAGCCCGGGAGTCATGTCTAGTACTAACCAAGAACGATCGTTTGTAAGCATTGCCGCAGGAAGCTTCGGTCGCAAACGTCCAAATACCAAGCCTAACGTATCCATGAACACAAACAGTGTCGGTGAGGGCTACTCTAGAGATTTAAAGTCTCAGTACTTCCCCGGTAAAGATAGGTAACGGATCAGAAACCAAAGAAATTTTTGAATTATCCCTTTTACGGCTTGGAAAACGAAGTATTCAAAAAGCTTTTTTGTCGCCTGTCAAAGTCAAAAAAAACATAAAGTGTTTAATTTTCTGTCCACATATAAAACGCCACAGTAATTTTATCAATCCCTCGGTTGGGAAGCACACTTTATTCAGAAATGTTCAGCATCGAGATAGCCTGAAAATCAGGAGAAAAAGTAGATAGATGCTAATAAGGAAATCAAGGGGAACATTAAGCGATAGATCAACGGTAATGCGGATCCAACTCCCGTTTGATCTTGTTCTTCGCGACGGGTTTGCAGATCACACCAGCCAATGCCAGCACCAAGAACAACGTGCTGATGAGGAAACCGAGCGCTGAGACGGCGGCACCAGCCGTAAAGTACAGATTGTTCCCGTCGAAAGGACCTGAAATCAGAAATTTAGGAAAATAAGTCATCCTCACGGATATTTTGTCACTTTTCAGATTACATCTAGGTGAGAATGGGAAAAAATAAAAAAATTTGTCCGGAAAAAATTGATTTTTTAAAAGAATATTGCTTTATTCACATGTAGTAAATCGATAAAAACAGTAAGCCGCTGGCTAGAAACCTTGCACACGCCTTGGGAAAAATGAATCAAAATTTGTGCCCAGTTTCATCAAAATCTGAGCGTCGCAGTAGCAAAAAAAATCATATGGTTTTGCATCCGGGAAATGTCAAAAATGTAGCAAAATACCTCCTTCTCCAAGTGAAAAATCTCCGATTTCAAAATCTCTCTTTTGTAAGGAAAAGAGCTCGTTTTTCAAATAGGAGTTTTCTTAGTTGGAGAGGGAGGTATTTTGCTGCATTTTTGATACCTCCCGATTGCAAAATGGCATGTTTTTTTGTCACTGTATCAAGTCCGCGCCACTGTAAAAATCTCTCATCTTTTCCACCAATTTTTTGTATAATAAAAACTTGAATACTTCTCCTAATTGCATCACAAAAAAAAGGACTTACCGAGTTCCTGCGAAGCTGCCGTGGTCGTCTCTGGCTCGCCAGTACCGGGACTTGCAGTAGTAGTGGTCGTAGTGGTCGAAGCTGGTGTAGTAGTCGGAGTTGTGGTACTAGGCGGAGCTGGTGTGGTCGTGGTAGTGGACGTAGGCGCGGTGGTCGTCGTAGTCTCGGTGGTCGGCGGATTTGTAGTGGTCGGCGGATTTGTGGTGGTCGAGGTGCTGGGGGTGGTGGTGGTAGTCGATGTGCTGGTGGTTTCCGGATCGTCCGCACGCCGACGGTTCCTCGCATTTCCCGTTGAAGGTTGATCGGCTCCAACGACGGAAAAAATCAACAGAAAGACGATAAAAACCGACCGATTCATGGTCGCAATGGGATCGAACTGGGACCAATTTCGTCGACAAATTTCTTGGTCGAATAATTCGACTTTCAAGATCGTGTTATGCAAATTTAGCTGACAAAATATTATTTTTGGGTCGTTCAGAAAGTTCCGTCGTTTTTTTTATTCTTTCGTTTACAAGAATTTGTTTATTGTTTGGCAAAGCGAATATATTGATTTGATACAGCTTTTTGGTTTTCCTCGAGAGGAACCCCTCGTTGGGAGGAAGATTTTTCCGAATATGGAGGAAATTTGTCGATGTATGGGGGTTTCGAGGGCGGGGATTTCAAAAATGATGATTGATTGTTACTTTTTTCTTAAGTAGTAGTGTTAAAAAGTAATTTTAGGATTTTTTTCTAAAAATACTCGATTTAGGGGTAATCAAGGGCGCTGATTTCGAAAATGATGTTCATTTTTTCTGATTTTGACTTTTTTCTTAACTAGTAGTATTAAAAAGTAATTTTTTGAAAATTTTTTTTCTGGTATCTACTAGATAAGAAAAAAGTCAAAATCAGAAAAAATGAACATCATTTTTGAAATCCCCGCCCTCGAAAACCCCTAAATCGAGTATCTTTAGAAAAAAATCGAAAAATTAATTTTTAACACTACTACTTAAGAACAAAGTAACAATCAGAAAAAATTAACATCATTTTCGAAATCCCCGTCAATCGATTACCTCTAATATATCCAACACCCTCATCGCACCCTTTTCCTGAGATCGGAGCGCTCGGTCCCCTTCCCAAAAACGGGGGCCAATACGACTGATTCTCCTCTCTTCTTTTCCGAGGAGTTCAGGTTGCGATGAGTTTGCTGTAATAGTAAACTCCTGTTATGACGAGCCTGCGCCGTAACAGCGCGGTGGACTGAAACCGGCAACACGCACTGTGCGAAACAGCCGTAAATTGAGATGTCTGTTGAGTTTATTGCGAAAAATCAAGATTTTAAATATGCTGCTTGCTGTATAAAAGATAAAATGCAATTTTTCGGCACAAAAAAATATACAGGGTGTACCAATTTGGTGGCCCGATTTGAATTGGCTATAACTTCTATAATTTTGGGCCAAATTTTAAAATTCTTTTTTTCCCTGAATCCTCACAAGGAAAGTACTTCTATGGGGTGTGGAATTACCGGTCGAGATATATATCAAAAAATTCGCAAAAATTTTCTGTTTCAGAATATATAAAAATTAGCTGCCTAATTTTGGTCTGATGACATGTTTTTGTCCTCAGAAGTTTTCTCGCGACACAATGCAAGTGTCTTTTTGACCGTGTTTTTACCAATAAAAAAATTTTGTTTTGTGCTAAAATAAATTTTGAGGCCTTGACAAGCCTTAAAATATCAAATTGGATTACAACTACACCTTAAAAGTAGTTCCAATGTAAAAAATGGGTTCTAGTGTGGCAAAAGGAATCGAACCCGTTCCCTTCGGATTCCCAATCTAGCGCTCTAACCACTCGGCCACACCGCTCTCTTCCGAAGGAAGAGACCGAGCGCGCTTTTGTTGCCGCAGATTTTTTCCTCGAGAAATACATTTATTGATAAAACTCGTTAATAGACCAAAATTAGGCAGCTAATTTTTATATATTCTGAATCAGAAAATTTTTGCGAATTTTTTGATATATATCTTGACCGGTAATTCCACACCCCATAGAAGTACTTTCCTTGTCAGACATCTCCATTTTGTTTAATACCAAATATGTGGCAGGAGTACAGAAATCTCGCCATCTTCGTCGTGAAGAACAAAAGATCTATCTTGTGAACGAAATAGATAGTTGTGGCAAACCTAGGTTCATAAGGTTTAGAATTTCGTGTAGAATAGTTTGGAATTAAAAAACCCAAAGCAAATCCGCTCCTAAGGAGTGAAACCCGGAGGGCACAGATATGAAAATTTTGAAAATCCGCAAAGTTGGGGAAAAGGGTTGGCCCTAAACAAAGATGACGAAGATGGCGAGATTTCTGTACTCCTGCCACATATTTGGTATTAAACAAAATGGGCATGTCTGAGGATTCAGGGAAAAAAAGAATTTTAAAATTTGGCCCAAAATTAAAGAAGTTATAGCCAATTCAAATCGGGCCACCAAATTGGTACACCCTGTACAAGAAAAAATATAAACCTTCAAAAATTTCCAAAAATTTTTTCATCTCACCTAAAACAATATCCCAACCCTCTCAAAATCCATTTATATCCCATGAAAACCCCTTCAAATCCCCTCAATAACCTCCAAGCTTAATGAACACCATGTGGAGCATCAGCAGAGACGTCAACTTCTAATCGAACCACATCATCCTTTATGTAACCGCCACTTTCCTCCAGCAGCTGATCGCACTGCACGAACTGCGAGTATCCCCAGTCGTTTTCCTTGGGATGAAAGGTGTGGGAGATTCGTTGGATGTTGGGTTCGATTCCCTCCTTCATGGGGACGATGCGGAACATCGCCGAGGCCGAGCAGGACCAGTTCTCGCCGTCGCCCGCCTCTCCATTGCATTGCAGGAAGAAGCCAAGGCACTTGGCGGTCTGTTGGTTCGGAGATCTGGACCCATCGCGCGGGATTGCCAAGATTTTCCATGGCATGCCACGGATGTAGACCGCTTCCGACAGTCGTTGCGGGTTCTCGGCCGGCAGTCCTCGTGCAAAGTCCGAAAACCGATCAATTTCCAATATCACTGTTCCTTCGGGTTTATAACGATCTTCTGAAAGAAAGATTGTGCCGTTGACGAGCTAACAAGCCCAGTTTCAGATTGTAAAAGCAAAAAATTTCCGCAGAAAAATTCTAAAACAACATGACGACTAAAACTCAAATTTCTCAAAGAAAAACAAGTGTGCAGCATCTTCCAAAAATAACAAAACCGCTATATCTAGGTCAGCTATCTATTCACAGTCAGCAACAACGAATTTCCTCAGAAAATTTTTAAAAATTCGCAAAGAAACGTCAGTTCCACCATGGATAACACATTTTTTGGAGAAAACCCATCCAAAAAACCTTTCTAGATGCCAGAGATTGGCATGTATGAAATACTAGAAACAATAATACAAAATACTTACCAGGATCAAATTCGTCATTTTTTGCTGATCCAGCTGGCTGTTTGTCTTTTACTGGAGCAAATTCTTCTTCCATTCTGTTAGCTCCTGTAATTAGATGAGATTATAAGAGCAATCCTTTCTTGTCAATTCTAACCCTCGAATTTGGCAAAAGACGCGATGAAAACATTAAAATTTCGGAAAGATCTAGAGATTTAGGGCTAGCAGGTGGAAACAGTCGTAAATCCACTTTTTTGCAGGGTTTCAAATGTTAATAGGCAAGATAAGGGATTTAAGAAGCTTATTAGCCCATAATTTCAAAAACGAAAGTTTAAAAACACGACAATTTTGCCGAAACTTGTCTAGTACAATGTCGAAAGTAAATTGATCAAAAAAAGCTCGAAATACAAAAAAATCTGACAAGGAAAGTACTTTTATGGGGGCTCCTACTTTTTGACGGGACATATCTCAAAAAATCAGAAAAAATGTGCTGATCAAGGATATATAAATCTTAGCTGCCCATTTTAGGTTTTTAGGGGTGAAAAGTCCATCGCAAGTTGGTTTAAAGTCCTATATAAACCTCTTTTCGCTTAATTTTTCACAGGTTTACAATTTTTATTTCGGCTTAAAATGATGTTTATTGAGTTTCTAGGACGTAATAAATCAGTCTTGGCCCAAAAATTTATTTTTCCGACCTTCAACTTCAAAAAAAGTTGCTTCAGTCCAAAAGGGAAACCGAACCCGTGCGGCGTCCCCCTCTTGATTCCCAGACTACGGCACTAGCCACTCGGCCACATCGCTCTCTTCCGAAGGAAGAGACCGACTGCGCTTTTTATCGTTTCGAATGCCTGCCCTTTTGTAGGGAAATTAAGCGAGTTTTTGGGCATTTTCGCCCCTAAAAACCTAAAATGGGCAGCTAAGATTTATATATCCTTGATCAGCACATTTTTTCTGATTTTTTGAGGTATGTCCCGTCGAAAAGTAGGAGCCCCCATAAAAGTACTTTCCTTGTCAGATTTTTTTTTGCAAAAATATAAAGCAACTATCGCACACAATTCCTCAACTTAAAACGCACGATTCCCACTGCGAACATAATAATATTATTCATGAGGTATCAACTAAACTTTCTACGTAGTTTCTTGGCTGAAAAAGGGGTATAAAGAGGATAAACTCGTGTCCACCAGGTCACACATTGTCTCGAGATCAAAACGCCACTTTCTCGAGGCTGAAATAGCGACTGAACACATAAAATCTTGACCGAGCCTAAAACAAGGTGTCCCACCTGGAAAAAATAGATAGGAATCTACATTTTCTAGCAATTTTCGACCAGAAAAGTGAAGAAACAACAAGAACAAAGTACGAAGTAGCTAAAAGAAAGAAAAAAACCTAGAATAACAGGAGAAATAACATCAAACGAAGGGATATTATACTTGATGGACCTAAAAACAAAAACTAACGCGCGTCCATAACGCGCGTCCGCTTGCAGAAAACGATCAGCCACTTGTAGTAAACCTGTGTTCTCTCGCAGAACCGCGAGAGAACACAGGGAATAGAAGAGACGTCCCAAACTTCTCTCTAACCTCTTTGGGAAATATCGGGTAGAAAGCGGAGAGTAAAACAAAGGAGGCGTGTGGCCTCCAAAAATAGAAGAAAAATTTCCCGCCGGATAGGTTACCTCGGAGGATAGGTTACCTGAAAAAATTTTTTTTTGAAATGTTTTCGCTTCGGGACTTGGAAAAAAGGATTTTTTGTGAAAATTGAAAAAATTTTGAAATGTTTTCGCTTCGGGACTTGGAAAAAAAGGATTTTTTGTGAAATTTGAGAAAAAATAGGACCTTTTATACCATCAAAGGGGCAAAGGTCTCTAAGAAGAAGTAAATCACGGGAATAAAGAACCCGTATTATACTCAAATAAAAGGCCGACAATAAACTTCACTGAGTATTTATCCGCCAAAAACAACCAACAACGGGGTAAAACACACAAAACAACGAGGTGAGGACGGTGAACAATGGTCAACCGTCTGCCTCCTGGAAACCAAAAGAATATGAATGATTATTCCCAAAGTCACGTCCCAATGACCAGTCGGTGCGGAATGCCAATGCAGCGTAGCGTTTTCGTGGCGGGACGTAGTCGGGGTTTGGATGTTTCGGGCTGAATGGCTGCGGGATTGCACGGGAAATGGTTGGTGGATCTTGGTGGGTGTGTCTGGTCCTACTCGCCCCCCTCATGTGTGTTGGCGTCCCGACATCAGAACCTGAAAATAAAAAGAGATTAAATGATAAGGTAGAAGCCCCCTAGCCCTAAAGTAAATGAGAAGCCCTAATAATTTAGAAGTAAACCCAAAATAATTTTATGAATTGACCCAAAAGTCCCAAAAAGTACCTAAAAGCTCCAAAATAGTTGTTATTTTCCCTAAAGTCACCTAGAGTCCCCCCACTACTCCATAGAGCAGACGTCCTCGGCTGTTGTCTTCAAACTAAAATCGATTTCCAAATCAATTGGGCATTTTTATCTTCCCATAGGCAACAAAATACTGATATGTTTCGCTATAAATAACAACAATAACATCTAGGAGATCATCAAACAAAAGGAGATCGGTATAACTAATATGGAGGCCAAAGATAAGAAAATGCTTTTTATCATTTCGTTTTGAACGAATCACCAAAAAGGGGCGGGAAATTTTTTCTTCTATCTTGGATTGACGTGCGTACCGGAAACATTCAAAGTACCGTAACTCCAAAACCCCCCCCCCCCTTTTATTTTCGCGCATTTTTGATATGTTGTTACATACATGTCAAAGTGTTTTTAAGAGGTTTCAAAAGTTGAGACAAGTTCTCTGCAAAAAAGTTACATTCAATATGGTATCTTGGTATTTTTCAAAATAGTCGAAGGCAACATCCTACGGCAAAGTTGTCAATAATGAAAATGTTCCCCATGGTCAAAAACGTAAAACGGCGAGGTTTTGTGCCTTTACTCCTTGAGGTTTTTACATACGAACCCAATCTTTCTAAAAATTGTACCTACCGTAACCCCCGTATACGGTAATTTCTTAAACTAAAAATTCGTGCTGACGTTCAGCTATCATGGTACAACAACTATGCAAAATATCAAAAGATTCTGGGTCGGTCGTTTTTTCGAAATGTCCGGGCCATCCTTCGAGTTGTAAAAAACTCTCTTTTAAGCTATTATTTGTATCGGTACCATTTCTGAATCGGGAAATACGAGTCCCTCAATATCAGCATTTTTGATGTATCTTCAAAAATCGCACTCCAAGAGCTCGAACGGGAGGTTCTTCGGTATCCACCATGCTTTAAATCTTGGGGTTTGGATTTTTCATAGTTTCGAAGTTTTCCCGAGCTGCGCCCGAACCTTTTGGCGCCATTGATTCACTATTACAAGACAGGAAAAGCTATCGTTTTGATTGATACAAATTCATATATTTCCACATGCCAAACCAAGAAATACTTGCTTTATTTAACGGCGAATTTTAGTGATATACAATCGGAATCTCTAAAAGGTTGTAGCGTTTGTTTTTGTAGAAACCCCAAGCCAGCAAACCAGACTTTTCATCACTCTGTTTCTCAGTCCTTCTAATTGTAAGAGAGAAGTATGCCTCAGAACAAACATGGTGGTAATTTTGGTGAAGCACTGGTTTCGCCGGGATACTGCACTCCACCGTGTAGAAAGAATTTGAAAGCTCGGAGGTATCGGTGAAATAAATTTCGTGTCTATTGTTGTTTATGACTCTAAGTTTGGCAACTTTTCTTCCATAAAAATCGATGTATCGGGGGAAAGTTGAAATACCGGATGGTGTTGAGAGACACTTGCATAAATGTTCTATTTCCTTGTCATCAGTCTGATTGGTGCCTTCAGTGTTATTAAGATTAGATTCAAAGTAGAGGACCTGAGAGCTTTTAATGAACAGCAACTTCAGATCGAGCTGGTTGGCCAAGTACAAAACCTCTATGGCACTTTTGAATGTCACTTTTTCGAGGAGGATTAGCTCACACTCGTCCTGAAAGGAATCTTGTAAAAATGGCGCCAAGGAAATGAAAAATTCTTGTCGAAAAAATCGAAGAGATTGAACTCTCACCTTTAAGGCCAGTAGTTCATATCGATGCGCTAGCGGAACAACACGCCTTGCTAATTCGAAGTCTTTAATTTTTGTGTTCATGTAGATGTGCTTCAGCATCGCCTCCACTGCCTCAGGGTCTTCATCGTGAAGGTTCAACACGCCTTCTTTGGCTTCTTTGAAGTCGGAAAGAAACATGGTTTCAAAGACCGGAGATTTCTTGGCCAATTGATGTTTACTGACCTAAAATTTTTTCTTATGCTATGAGGAAAAAACCTACATAAAACTTCTGCTCTCCCACACTGACTACTAAGTCGCTGAGCCTGGGCTGGTTGTAAAGCTTGTCTTCAAATGGAACGGCTTTGTCAACACTGGCTGAAACACCAAAAATTTTAGAGAAACAAGAATTTAACTTACCTTTAAGTTCTTTTATCTTAGCATCCAGAAATTCCCTTCGTTTTACCTCCATTCTTTAACAGTTTGCTCACCCTACGCTATGCTTTGGCGGAATGGCAAATAATGCCTATGATTCCACTTGAAGACGCCAAATTTTTTCTGTTCTTAGAACTTACGTCATTGAACAAAAAATGGGCAAAGCCAGAGAAATCCCAAATCACAATTTGTGACGTCAGCATTTTTTTTTTACAAACCATCGATTGTTAAACGCCAATTTGGCCAACATACGCCCAAAAGCAGACATTTAAGAGTCAGTTTCAGAATTTAAGAGTCAGTTTTTCGTCGACTTTCACATCACAAGTTGGAAAGAATGTAATTGTGTTTACAGTGCCCACAGCATAAAGGATTTGCAAGAGATTTGGAACCTTGGGTTGAAAATGTTCTTCTGTTTACAAAAACCTCATTCAAATACTAAAAAAAGAAAAATGGGATCGAATTCATTTAGTATTCTCAACAATGGATGCGGTCGGTCGAAGTTTTGGACCTGTATGGCCGTCCTATGGGCAGTCGTTAAATCAGCATGGAAATTCTGGGACGTAAATTCCCTGGCATGGGCTGATGACGTTGCCATGACCGTCTCTGTCGTCAACAACATGGTGTATTCTGTGGCTGCGGCACAACGCAACCTAAACTTCACGATTGTGCCGGTTGACAAGAAAACGTCGGAGAATAACTTCAACACATTTTCTATGGTACTTTTTTCTTTTTTTTATTAAGATGATTCAAAAGTTTTCCGCCATAGCTTTACATTTTTTAAAAATTTTAATCAAAGCCAACGTTCCCGGCTGTATATGCTGTTAGAAAAAGCGCTGTTTGCGAAATTCAAAGATTAGCAGCTTTTTACAACTTAGCAATTTGTAGTAGTAACGCCGTGTTCCCAAGCCAAACAATTTTATAGCAGAAAAATTTCTGTCAAACCCCGCCCATTTTGGCGCGCTCGATGAAGAGCAGAAGCAATACCGTTGATGACTCGAAGTAATAATCGCATGAAAAACAATCCTGTTGGATAATTGTTCAGTCTAGCATTTATCACTTTAAAAATTTAAAATATTTTACAACTATTTTCAACTCCTTCAGGTCCGTCTGATATCACCTAAAACAATGTCTGCCTAATTGCAATAAATCGATAGAGAAAACGTTGAAACGGCAAATAACTTGTGTAAATTTAACCTATTCTTGTACGGACAACGTCACAAAATAGTACGGCTGTTTTTTTCTTTTTATGACAAAAAATTTTAAAAATATAACTATGTTGTCTAAAGAGAAGTATTTTTAAATTTCAAAAAGTTTTTTTGCTATTTCAAGTTCTTTGAGCAACGTCGTGTTATTATCCAACAGGATTGTTTTTCGTGCGATTATTACTTCGAGTCATCAACGGTATTGCTTCTGCTCTTCATCGAGCGCGCCAAAATGGGCGGGGTTTGACAGAAATTTTTCTGCTATAAAATTGTTTGGCTTGGGATAGCCTGCCGCTATGCCAGGTTTGACAGAAAATTCTGAGCAAAAATTCTTCTGTCAACAAATTGGAGGTGAATAAAAACTACAGAAGATGAACACAGTTCTTGAATCAACAATAACACATACCTTTCATTTAACTAACTATTCATCAAAAAAAAATAAAATAAAAAAAAAAGATCACAATTTTACAGCACAACTCATCATGAATCTTATTCTGGAATCATCACCCATAAACCCTTCCAATTCAAAAAATCTCACAAATTACTACTTTACACTACTATAATACTTTAGAAAAAAGTTAAAATCATGAAGAATGAATATCATTTTCAAAATCAGCATCCTCGATTACCTATAACTCGACATCTCATCTAAAATTTTCGAAAATTACTACTTTACACTACTACTTAAGAAAAAAGTTACAATCATGAAAAATGAATATCATTTTCAAAATCAGCATCGTCGATTACCTATAACTCGACATCTCATCTAAAATTTTCAAAAATTACTACTTTACACTACTACTTAAGAAAAAAGTTACAATCATGAAAAATGAATATCATTTTCAAAATCAGCATCCTTGATTACCCCTATATCCGATTTTTACCCAAAGGTATTGAACTTTTGCTTATTACGTAATCACCGATTTGAATTTTCAAATTTTTTAGCCCGAAGTGTTATTACTACCTCGAAACATGGACCCTACACTAATTTTTGTGTTTGGGGACATATTCGGAATATTTTGGGGACAGATTCCGAACCCCTATTTGGGGACAGGTCGTTGGGGACAGAATGGGGAAATTTGGGGACAGAATGGTATAAATTTGGGGACAGCCATTGCGTTGTCCAAAGTTCAACTACTCGAAGGAAGAAAAGGCAAAAGTAAAGGCACTATGTATTGACTTGGGTCAGTTATATTAGGTTTATTTACTATAAGCGTTATTTTTAGGGCTCACAAATTACTGATATGTAAAGTTTGCTGGCATTAAACCCCTCAATCCTGTTTTTCCAACAAGAAAAGTCTTTCTATCCTTGTTGGACGCAGTCGTAATTTCTAAGCCCACGATCAGAGAAATTAGACAACAATATGTATAATTCTTTGAGATCAATTCAAAGCGGAAAAAGCTTTAGCAAAAACAACAACAATAAGCAATTAAACCAATATGGGTTAAACAATGCAAACTCATGACAACTTTGACTCTTCAGATATAGTTGCTATTTCTTTTTTGAACCGTCAACTTTGGAGTTTCGTGGTTGACGAGATTTACGGCGCGACTAGTAAGAGACGTATTCTAGCTAGCGGTTTGCAGAAACAACAGGATTTTTATAAAGCGATAACTTTTTGCCAGTTCTGGAAAGACTGTATTCTTTATTTCAACAACAGAAAACAGCAGCATACACACCTCATCTCGTTGCCAGAAAAACTTCGGTTTGTCTCAAGACCATTTATGATAATGACCATGATGATTTTCACGTTGTGTCTTTGCCTCTGACTCCGCTGGGGAGTGGAAAATGAATTTTGATTTTGAATCTGCATTGCTCCAAATGAATTTTATTTTCATTTCTTGTCCTCACGAACAATGGTTGTAAATTGTGCGGGTTGTGTTTGGAGTGCTCTGTTCTTGATTGTACGTGAATTTGAAGATATTTACATGGCGTTTTGAGTATTTCAGAGTTCTTTATGGGATTTTTGACCATTTTTTAGGGGTTTTTGATGATTATTTGTAAAATTTTGAAGATTTTTGGGAATTTTAAAATTTCACAGACAATCAGCGTCTATGAGAAAGGGTTTTCAACAGTTTTGGTTGGCAATGCCATTAGACGAAATCATCAAAATCCATTTTTAAGCACTTTTTTGCCAAAAATCCCCCGCGTCCCGACATTTCGGGTCAGGGACAACTCGGGTCGCGACAACTCGGGTCAACGACAACTCGGGTCAACGACAACTCGGGTCAACGACACTTCGGGTCAACGACATTTCGGGTCAACGATACCGTTTAATATTTTCGCTTCGGGACTGTGAAAAAAGAATTTTTTGGTGAATTTGAGAAATTTTTGAAATGTTTTCGTTTCGGGAGTTGGAAAAAAAAGGATTTTTTGTGAAATTTGAAAAAAATTTGAAGTGTTTTCGCTTCGGGACTGGGAAAAAAAAGATTTTTTGGAAAATTCAACAAAATTTTGAAATGTTTTCGCATCGGAAGTAGAAAAAAGGGTGTCTGACTGAATATTAACTGTGGTGCCGGCAGCACTAAAATTTTGTCTAAAACCAATGGTACCACCTGGTACTATATAGTACCACGTGTTTTTGGGCTCTACTAACAAGGGAAGTCACTTTTTTCGCAGATCGATCCATACTGGTGACCTAGTGGACAGTGAAGGCCTCAGGCTGTGTAAGAAGAATCTGGCGTCCAAAAGTGTTTACGGGTCCTGAGGGCAGAGTTATGGCTCATAAAAGTTCGCGCAAAAAAGGTTCCGAAAAGACCCTCCAAAAAAACGGGATCAGAGAAGTGAGCTTCGGTAGCAGAGTGGTTCGCAGATTTTTCTTTTGTCTGGAAGGGCTAGGGTTCGATTCCTCTTCCCGGCAATAAATAAAAATAATATTGTAAAAGTAGCGTAAGTAACAAAAAAAATATTTAAAAAATTTTTTTTAAAATTATTATTAAGTCGTTAAAAAAATGACGATTTTGTTCATATCGTCGCTAAATTTATCATCTGTCCAGACAGCAAGCGTTTGACTCAAACGCTTCAGCATGATATCATGATCACCAAGGGCGTCTTCTAAAACATCAGAGAGATACATATTGAGAATCCCCGTCCTACCTTTACGCCAAAGTTCCCGCAGTTTTCTCCAATGATACGGCGTCTTCATCCACCGTAATCGCCGCATTATTCCAGAAATTGAATGCGATCCTCGGCGGAAAAATGCCCTCGCATCCCTCACTGTGTCCAAGCTCACAACGACTTCCCCAAATTTTAACGACAGGATAATAAAATTTTTCAAAAAATGTTTCAAAACAATTTTTTTGTAACTTACGCTACTCTTATAATACAATATTATTTTTAGTTATTGCCGGGAAGAGGAATCGAACCCTAGCCCTTCCAGACAAAAGAAAAATCTGCGAACCACTCTGCTACCGAAGCTCACTTCTCTGATCCCGTTTTTTTGGAGGGTCTTTTCGGGACCTTTTTTGCGCGAACTTTGATGAGCCATAACTCTGCCCTCAGGGCCCGTAAACACTTTTGGACGCCAGATTCTTCTTACACAGCCTGAGGCCTTCACAGTCCACTAGGTCACCAGTATGGATCGATCTGCGAAAAAAGTGACTTCCCTTGTAAGCACCAAACCATCACCATTACTGCCTCATGACCAAATTTTCACTTCTCACAAAACAGTACCAGTTGGTACTATATAGTACCAAGTGTAAAAACGTGTTTTTGGGTTCTACTAAGCACCAAACCAACGCCATTACCGCCTTACGGCCAAATTTGCACCTCGTACTATATAGTACCAGGTAGTACTATTTAGTACCAAGTGTTAAAAATGTGTTTTTAAGCAGTACTAGGCACCAAAACAACACCATTAACGTCTAAAAGTGCTATAAGTCGAAAAATTTTCAAAAAGAATCCCTAAAGGCAGTAAGGTAACAGAAACCCAGTTTTCATATTCAGTCAGTTCATACTCAGTCAGCTCGAAAACCTTTCAAATTTTTTTCAATTTTCACAAAAAATCCTTTTGTTAAAAGTCCCGAAGCGAAAACATTTCAAATTTTATTCAAATTTCACAAAAAATCCTTTTTTTCCAAGTCCCGAAGCGAAAAAATTTCAAATTTTATTCAAATTTCACAAAAAATCCTTTTTTTCCAAGTCCCGAAGCGAAAACATTTGAAAAATTTTTTAAATTCACCAAAAAATTCTTTTTTCCAAGTCCCGAAGCGAAAATATTAAACGGTATCGTTGACCCGAAATGTCGTTGACCCGAGGTGTCGTTGACCCGAAGTGTCGTTGACCCGAGTTGTCGTTGACCCGAGTTGTCGCGACCCGAGTTGTCCCTGACCCGAAATGTCGTAGCGCCAAATCCCCTACAGAGTTCCATTTTCCTCCTTTTTCTTCAAAAAATCATCATTTTCTCTGTTTTTTCCTAACCAAATTATTTTATGTACATCACTTACAGGTAATTCCAACTTTTGTCGTGTCAAATCATGCCGCATCTCAGACAAATCTCACTTGGATGGAGATGAAAAACCCGCCGAAAGGCTTTTTCTACGACGAAAAAATGGAGCTCAAACTGAAAGAAGGAGTGTATCGGCATACTGATCGAATCAAGAGGATGTTCAAGAGGCCCACGGAGTACTCGTTGTTGGATATGTTCTGCTTTCCGCACGACTGTTGGGTGGTGTTTTGCGTCCGGCGTGATGATGGGTAAGGACGATTTTAGCATTGTCAAATCTCTGTACAAGTGTAAGATGGGGAACAAGTTCCTTATTCTGGCCTCAACAAAGGTACTCTTCGAACTGCGCCCAAGCTTGGGACCTAAAGTTAGGAAGAAAGGCCTCGACTTAGCTGGAACTTAATTACTATAATAGCTCTATTACTTTAAGGGTACCTACGAAGGCTATGACGGCTCATTTAGCTCTATACGGAGGCAATAAGTTTGGTTCTGGACATGTCTCATCGTATAAAGTGTAAAATGGCAGGCTGCAGCCGTTTTTAAAGGGTAAGGTGGTACGTAAAAAAGAAGGTACCTAAACTAGCTAAAGCCACTGTCCGGGCATTGACAACGCTGAATTGAGCCTGCACGCCAAATTTGGGCCAATTCTGTCCAGTTTCCGCAAAGTTATAAGTCGTGGCCAGAATAAGGAACTTTTACGTAAGATGGGAAAAGTTTTGTCATAGAATTTTGGAGAGTATTTTAAGCCTAAAATTGGCTTTTTAAACTATGGAATTATTTGTCATTGTAAAGTTTTTTTATCGATTTTTTGCATGTTTCAGATCGGCATTAATCTCAGTGCATCCGGAAGTGACGGGTTTTTCATTGGCCACGACGGTTTTGGATAAAAATGGTAAATTTTGAGCCATTTAAAATTTATTTGGAGTGGCCCGAACCCAGTCCGTATGCAAAATTTTGGCCAAGTCCTAGCGGTGGACTTGGCAAACTTCTCTTTTTCAAACTTTTTCATTTTTCATATTTCAGGCAAATTCCTGACCGAAACTTCCGTCACGCAATATGTTCAATTCCTCTTGTCTGTCCCATTCGTTTTTGGAAGTCTGGAGCACAACACAACCAAGCCGGTGCGAATCTACAACTCCGGGTTGGGCTTTGGGACCATGGCGATGGCTTTGGCTAGTATTAATCCAATGGTAGCTTTTTGGGGGGTTTTTTATTTTAAAATTTTTAGGGGAAATACTCCAAGTGTGAGGCTCAGATTTTGATGAAAATTGGCGCAAATTTAGATGAATTTTTTTTTGGAAAAAATCGACACTTTTTTGACGAATTTCTGGACGAAAGTTTACACATCTATTTCTATCGTATAGGGTAAAGTTTCCACAAAAAAACAGTCTTTTCCATGCGGCACTGGCAAGGATACGGCTAAAAAGTGTTTTTTATCTCTGCGCACTCCGTATTTCGCGTACTCTCTCTCCGAAAAAGATCGTTCAATATCTCAGCTGCACCTGCAAAACAAGAGCTAAAATTTTCAGGGATTGATATGTGCCCTATGTTCGAACTGTACGCAAAATTTAAAGAGAATATGAGCGTCGTACTTGAGACACTTTCTTTTCTATTTACAGGGGAAGCACTCCAAATGCGACGCTCAGATTTTGATGAAACTTGGCATAAATTTAGAATAATTTTTTCTAAGAAATATGCGAGAGTCCTAGCTCGCGCTTCGCAGCAACAACCGAGATTTTTAGATCAAAAGTCGGCGAAATTTTAGGAACTTTTGCCGAATTTCGGCACGAAAAGTTTCATGCCTATTTCAGCCGTAAAGGCTAATGTTTCTACAAAAAATCAAATTTTTCCGCACGAAACTGCCAAAGTTATGGCCAAAAAGCGCTTTTCTCTCTGACCGCTCTCCACGTTTAGCGTGCTCTCTCGGCGGCAAAAATCGTTTGATATCTCGGCGGCGCCCGCAAAGCGCGAGCTAAAACTTTCAGGAATTGATACTTAGTCCATACCCGACGTGTGTGCAAAATTTAAAGAAAATCTGAGCGTCGCACTTGGAGCACTTCCTTTTCTATTTATTGTTAGATTCATATTACTGGCGTGGAGTTGGAGCCGGCCACCGTCTACATTGGCAAGAAATGGCTGGGTTTCGAGGAGGGCCGACAAATCCAAGTCCATTACGAGGATAGCACGGTCTTCATTCGCAATGCCAGCAGAAATGGTGAGAGGTTTTGCTGTAAAACGACTTTGATGATTCATTTTCAGGCCTGAAATACGACTTTATTTTGCTCGATCTCTGCTACAACGACATCTCCGAGGATTACAAGTCACTGTGTCCGGTGAACTCGTACTGGGAAGAGGACACTGTCAAGGCCAATTACGACGTTCTGTCGGATGGTATGTTGGGAAATTTTTGGGTTTTTTTGATTGATAATTGTCTGGATTCAATTTGGCTTTGTCTATTTTTTATTCTTTTTACTGTGAAGGCTTTGTAAAACGAACCTCCGCACTACATTTCCTCTCTATAAAGAACAATTTCGGAGGTAAGCAAAGTCGATTTTATGCCAAAGTAAGTCTTTATAAAACAAAACCTTTGTATAACGAACATTTTTTGGGGAACTTGAAAAACTGTACAGAGATTTGACTGTTTATTTGCACTTTTTCAGACGGAATCATCGCCATGAATGCTGTCACTGAACATGGGTTTGATGATAAAGTCTTCAACGAGCTGAAACAGCTCTACAAACAGTATTTCAGATGGTGCCAGATTTTTCAGATCTCCATGAATCATGTGAGTTAAGAATTCCATTTTTCAATTCTATTTTAGGCGATGGTATGTGGAAAGAAGGAAGAGCCATCGACGGATCTATTGAAGTCAAGATTCCAGAGTCTGAACGGAGAACTGAAGAAAAAGTTTGATCTGCTGCGCGACTTTGAGTTCGAAGAGGTCTTTAGGCAAGTGTATATAGAGCGGAGAAGTGATAGAGAGTTTGTTTTTAGAAGACGATTTTTGGCTCGCTGCGTCAGCCAATACGAGGGGCCGGACATTCAAAAAATTTTTTTTTGAGTTTTCTGGCCTAAAATGTTGGTATAGGTCACTAAAACACATTCCCAAAATTTTTTTGCCCAGTGATGCCCGGAAGGTAGAAATTTGCATACGGTTTTAACCGTCCTTCTGAGCTCTGCTGTTGCCGTCGCAATAAAGACAATTTGACGAAACCGACACCATATATGTTTTGGTGGATGGCAAATTCAAAAATCGCAATTTCAAGTCAGTAGGATTACTGTAACATACAGTTTTCGACCTTCGGTCGATAAAAATCGACCGTATCTCCTTCAAATCAAAAATCCCACAAGATTTTATTGCAGATTTGGAATCAGCGTAAAATTCTGGTCTAGGGGCATGCAATTTGCATCCTTGATTCCGTGGCAGATAAATCATGGCGCAGTGGGTTTGGACGAAAACTAGTAATCTGACGACCCTGGTTCGATCCCCGCTGGAGACAATTATTGTAAAAAAGATGGAAATGACATTTAATGGAATTATGAGGGTTATATGAGCAACGCTGAGTATTTTTAGACATCAATGGAACATGAGTTTGAGGTTAGAACAGGGTTTATATTATTTTAGTCTCGGAATCCGTGAAAAATAAAACTGCTTCAAACGGGCTGAAATTGATAACACCTATTCTAGGATTAATTCTTAGAAACTTTTGTGTTAACTTTTTTTTGTTAGATTACTGTAACTTGGATTACGGTAACATAAAACCCAATTTTGTTTTTTCATACCACAAGGCGCAGGGCCATCGGAATATCACGAAGATTGTAGGAATAGTTAAGAACGAGTGGGTTTGCGCATTAATAGTTCGTTTATGGCCGTACGTTTTGAAATACCCGAGTTATCTAACGCAATATCACCAATGGATGATGAGATTAATTCACACTGAAAATGAGTTAGAATTGCATTTTAAATATGAGGCATGCCCGCTTTCTGCAGTTTGAATAATATAGCCAAAAAAAATTTTTAATTTTATGCGAAAATTTTGAAGCAATCGCCTTTAAGGAGGCCGAGCTTTTTGTTACCGTAATTCACGTTACAGTAATCTAACAAAAAAAAGTTAACACAAAAGTTTCTAAGAATTAATCCTAGAATAGGTGTTATCAATTTCAGCCCGTTTGAAGCAGTTTTATTTTTCACGGATTCCGAGAGTAAAATAATATAAACCCTGTTCTAACCTCAAACTCATGTTCCATTGATGTCTAAAAATACTCAGCGTTGCTCATATAACCCTCATTATTCCATTAAATGTCATTTCCATCTTTTTTACAATAATTGTCTCCAGCGGGGATCGAACCAGGGTCGTCAGATTACTAGTTTTCGTCCAAACCCACTGCGCCATGATTTATCTGCCACGGAATCAAGGATGCAAATTGCATGCCCCTAGACCAGAATTTTACGCTGATTCCAAATCTGCAATAAAATCTTGTGGGATTTTTGATTTGAAGGAGATACGGTCGATTTTTATCGACCGAAGGTCGAAAACTGTATGTTACAGTAATCCTACTGACTTGAAATTGCGATTTTTGAATTTGCCATCCACCAAAACCTATATGGTGTCGGTTTCGTCAAATTGTCTTTATTGCGACGGCAACAGCAGAGCTCAGAAGGACGGTTATAACCGTATGCAAATTTCTACCTTCCGGGCATCACTGGGCAAAAAAATTTTGGGAATGTGTTTTTGTGACCTATACCAACATTTTAGGCCAAAAAACTCAAAAAAAATTTTTTTGAATGTCCCCGGCTGACGCAGCGAGCCAAAAATCGTCTTTTAGTTATATCAGTCTGTCGGGGAAATAATGAGTCCTGTGTCGCATCGAATATCGCATTGCTGCTGAGAAAATGAATTGCGTCGCGGCAAAATCGAATGGATTTTCCCTTTAGCGACGCGACATCGTGATCATTATTTTCCCGACAGACTGATACTAGGACCTTCTGAAAACCAACCTCCGAGTAACAAGACCTGTCTATATCTTGAAGAATTTCAGAGGTCGCAAGGGTCAATTTCAGGCCATAAAATCAAAAAAAAAAAACTATTCATTCGTTATACAAAGAAATTGTATAACGATGCGGTTTAGGGAGACCCGCTATTGCGTAAAATTGATTCTTGGCACCTCCGATATTCTTTATTTTAGGCAGGTTCTGTTATAAGGAGGTTCGTTGTAGGAGGAGGAATCTTTATTGCTAGCTGTATAGTTAATACAAGACTATATAGACCTATCAATTTTTACCTGCCAGTCCTATTGGAATCACATTGTTTCAGAGCTCTTTCCGACGAGCCTGGAAGCCACCGTGCCGAGGAATTGTAGTACAACAAAGCAATGATGATTAATATTGTAAATAAAATAAATATTGTTGTTTTTTTGATAGCGCAGAAGAAGATTATTGATATTTTGTAGTTTCGGAAAACCCGTTAAATTTTCAGCATCTTTTAGACCATAGATCTTGCACAAATTTGCGTTGATGACTTTTCGCCGACATGTTGGCTTATTTAGCCAATAACGCGAAGTGAAGCCATTCCTTGGTCAGCTGAAAATTTTTAGAACACCCAGCAACTACAACGAAGCTAATTCAGCGATCCGCAGGAAGTGAATGCAGTGTTCGTGGGACAAAAAGGCCAAAAACGTTTCTTAATATTCGTTTTTACTGTCGCTAATTTTCTATTCGTTTCATGTGGTTGTGCTATTTCTGGTGCACTTTTATATCGTCTCTGTGTTTTGTTAAGGTTACTGTAACAAAACAAATTTTCTGATGGCTTTTGTAAGGGAGGCGTTCAAAGTTGCACATGGTAACCCTTTTTGAAATTTTCGAAGCTCGGCCCAGTCCTTGGGGAGCTATGGCCCTTCTGACGATTTTTAGGCCCAGCCCAAATTTGAATTGTAATTTTCCCGCCACTTTTACAACTTTTTGGCATTGTGTTTTTTGCTCGTTTTTAGGGTGTTTTACCGTTGCCAGAAACATTTCGAACAGCAAAAAAAAAAACTTTTCGATCTTGATAGAGCCATAAATACATCTTGTTGCACAATGCCAAGAATCCAAAATTGGCATCCCAAACGCGTGTTTCCAAAGGAAAAAAAAACATTTCTTTTTGTGAAGAGGCTGGACCTAAAATTTCAAATCTCGAGCCCGCAGCCCGGCCCCAGAGAAGCTCGGGCCGCTTTGTTATATCTGATGATATACAGAATACAGTGGGGGCCTGATCCAGTGGCAAAACACGTACCATTTTGCATCCGGGAAGTACCAAAACAGTGGCAAAATACTTCCCTCTCCAAGTGAAAAAACTTCGTTTTGAAGGGCGCGCCGTTTCCCTTGCAAAAAGAGCGGGCGCGCTTTTGAAATCAAAGTTTTTTTTTCACTGGAGAGGGAGGTATTTTGCCACATTTTTTTGATACCTCCTGGATGCAAAATGGTACGTTTTTTGCCACTGGATCAGGTCCCCCGCCGTACCTTCTGAATTGGGCTGGTTTTTGAGAAGAAACCTTATCAACTTCCTTCCTCATTCCAATATGTCAACAAACCCAACCCTCAAAATCCAAAATTATCGCTTTTCTCACGTCATCCTCGTTTTGTAGACCTCATTTTTCTATGGCTACACTTGAACTCGAAAAAGTCCACAAAAAACAGAATTTTTGATTGCGGACAACCTTTTCAGACCGGCGCACTTTCTCATGGACTGATCGTGAGAGAATTAATTTACAGCGGAAGTCTGCCAAGTGCGACGTTCGGATTTTCGTCAAATTTTGGATGCACGCCAGACATAGGAGACATATTATTAGTTCCTGAAAGTTTTAGCTCGCGTTTTTTAGGGGGCATTTGGCCGTTTTTGCGGCTGAGAGATCATGCGGAATGCGGGGTGTCAGAGAGGAAATGGTTATTTGGCCATATTTTTGCCAGTTTCATGTACAAAAAATTTATTTTTTTGTGTGAAAAACATTATTGTTTACGGTAGAAAAAGCCAACAAAAGACTTTTAACGCCAAAATTCGCAAAAAAAAAACCCCAATTTTACCAAATTTCAACCATAAAATCTCTTTCTGCATCTTTATGGTAATTAAAAAAAGTCATAGTCTGACTACAGCATCTTATTTTTTCTTATAATTGTATTTTTGTCTAGCTTTTATTCATTATGCATTCATAATTCTTGTTTATTTTCACGGATATCCTCGGATTTTTTACTTCCAACAACAACAAAATTAACTTTTTTGACTTTTTCGAACTTTTTTGATCAAGTTTTAGTTGATTTTTCATTAACTCGGCTATAGAAAACCCCCTAATCATTTTTATAACGAACATGACATCTAACGTAGGGATTAGACCCAGTCTAATTCTAGACTGGCAGCTATGTGAATGGCTTGATGAGATTAGTACAAGTGATATCACACTTATAAATTTCAAGAGGAAAACGTGGCTACTAAAATAAAATACAGTAGGAATATGGGATTGAGAAGCGGAATGAATTCATTGGCATGGAATGTTATAAAAACGTGGTAAAAAGGGTATCGAATAGAATGATTTTTTCGGTTATGGTGTTACATTGTCCCAGAACGTTTTCATGCCGAATTTCGAGGTTCTATACACAAGGGTTCGCATTTTACTACGACTTTTAGAATTCACGACAGCTCGGGTCAACAATATTATGGATTGCGTCGGTTCGTTTATTGTATGCATGGTGGAGGCTAGCAGAAGGCTTGGTTGGTTGAAATACAGTAAGGGACCGGATCCAATGGCAAAAAACGTCTCATTTTGCATCCCGGAAGGGACCATAATAACTCCAAACCCTTCCCTTCTCTAAGCTAAAAAAAACCCCGGTTTGAAGAGCCCGCCTTGAAGGAAAGGGCTTGGAGTCATTTTGGTTCATTCCGGGATGCAAAATCACACGTTTTTTTGCCATTGGATCAGGTCCCTCACTGTAATAAGATTCATCAGGTCCTAGGATACTCTTATCACCTAGTTTGCGCCATTTTACATGTACTCACATCAATAATATTATATCTAGATAAAAGTAACGGATCTTTGTTTTTTCCGCAAATTTTGATGTTTTATATGTGACAATAACTCAGGGAAAAGAAAACTAACGTTAGTAATAGCTGAAATTAGAAAAAGTGTAGGCCTGGTGACCAGCAAATTTTTTTTGTCTTGATTTTGAATGACAATTTTCACGCCGAACAATATTTTGGCATTGTGTTTTTTAGATCGTTTTTGGGGTGTTTTTCGTTGCCAGCAACATTTCTAACACCAAAAACTGTTTTCGATCCCTATGGAATGTCAAAACAAAAACAGTGGGCGGTAGACATTGTTGTTCTATATTGAGTTGCCGTGCAAATTATATCCACCCCCCACTTCCCCTGTTCACTAATCACTTCCGCAACTTTATTGCAACTCTCGGCTCACATGTCGCGGAAATTGGATTACCCCACCAGCTCCTTGCACAAATGGCCTCCAAGAAAACAAACCCCCGAGTTCAAGGCGCGCATCATCCGGACCTCTTGTGTTTGTGTTTTCTGCACTCCACAGACCCTAATTCGGTTATAGTGGAGGCATGCGAGTTAGTGCGTCATCTTCACCATCACTGCTTGAGGCTTTTGTTTGGCGCCGCTGTTGGACAACGGATTTTATTAGTTGCGGTAATTGGAGGGTTTAGGGCGTAGCTGTTTTTTGCGACGTATGAATAGTTGTTTCAAGCTGTTTATTTTTTACCGGTTATATTCACAGGGGAAGTACTCCAAGTGAGACGCTCAGATTTTCTTTAAATTTTGCCCACACGTCGGGTATGGACTAAATATCAATTCCTGAAACGTTTAGCTCGCGCTTTGCGGGCGCCGCCGAGATATCAATCGATTTTTGCCGCCGAGAGAGCGCGCTAAACGTGGAGAGCGGTCAGAGAGAAAAACGCTTTTTGGCCATAACTTTGGCAGTTTTGTGCTGAAAAATTTGCTTTTTTGTAGAAACATTATCCTTTATGGTAGAAATAGGCATGAAACTTTTCGGGCTGAAATTCGGCAAAAAGTCCTAAATTTTCGCCGACTTTCGATCTAAAAATCTCGGTTGTTTCTGCAAAGCGCGAGCTAGGATTCTCGCATATATCTTAGAAAAAATTATTCTAAATCTGTGCCAAGTTTCATAAAAAAAATCTGAACGTCGCACTTGGAGTACTTCCTCTGTTAGATTATGGAAGTTGCTATTTTCTCGAGCCAAAAAATCTCAAAAACTATGTTTTTTGAGACTGCAGCGAGGAGTTTTAAGTATTTTAGAGGGCCTCAGGTAAGTTCACAACGCATACAACGAGCCTCAGTCAAATCTCTGTACAGTCAAGTAACAAAAATTTAGTTTTCATCCAAGGGCTCGTTCTGAAATAGAGCTATTGGCTATTTAGGCCTGACATTTTCTCCTGAGACCCCTCAAATTGTTGGTTATAGACAGGTTTTGTCAGAAGTTCTACAGTATCTAACAAGAGTTCTACTAGCGCAGGAACTACGCTCAAATTTTGATAAAACTTGGCGCAAATTAAGACTAATTTTTTCTAAGAAATATGCGAAAATCCTTTCCCGCGTTCTGCGGAAACGACCGAGATTTTTTAATTGAATTTGTCAGCTGCCCTTTTTTTACACATTTACGGTCCGACTTCCAAGAGTCGCAAGTCTAACCTTGTATAATGCGGCCAGGTGAGTACGTCGGAAATGACACATTTTGCCTCATCAATTATTCCGTGGAATTCGAAAGAATTACGAACGGAGAGCTCGAGTGTAACTAACCATAGATTGAATATTGGGGTGTTTTTCCCGCGTTTGGCTATAGTGGGGTTACTGTGGGGGATTGGGATGAGTATTCCGATACCGACTTTTTTTAGCGTTCAAAAATTAAATTAAACTTGTGTACAATCAATTGAAAGGAACCGAAAAAATTATTCGCGAACATTCGTTATAGAAAGGTTTCTTTGTACAAAGGTTTATTTTGGCTTAAAATTTACGTTTGAGACCTCTGAAATTGTTCGTTATAGAGAGGTTTTGTTGCAATTTTGAGCCGAATCAAACCTTTATACAACGAAACCCTTCTATAACGAACTGATTCTTTTTCTAGTCTTTTGAAGTTCGTTGTACAGAGGCTTGATTGACAAGCTCTTATGTGTTGAAATTACAATGTAAATTTCATAAATTGTTACCGTGAACCCACCCCCTCAATTTCGAAATCCTTGAAGCTCTCGAGCAAATCGGCTTTTTCCCCCGCGATAAGCCTATCCTGGGAAAGTTGTTGAGGGCGAATGTCCAAATTTTGCTATTTTCTATTTGTCGTTTTTTGCTAATGAGGCGATA